ACCTTTCTTTCCTCAGCTGTTGTACCTGGAAAGTACGGCCCAATCTGGTCCACAGCAGCTGCATACCACATGGCATCCAACAGCTCCACAGAAAGACCATGGGCATCGACCCTTTTGTTCCAGGAGGTGCCGTCATCCTCCTTCGCAGGCAGATCCAAATGACTTGGCCAACCAGCCATCACCGACTCTACACTCATTGGTCTTGCTGGGGGGGTCGTCGACGAGGAAGTGGTGATGGGCTTCTCGGAGGTGGTCTCGGTGGCGTCCTTGGTCGTCGGTATGATGTCTCTCGACGTCAAGGCGCTTCACCATATCGACTCTCCCTTGGGGACCTTGATCGACCACGTCGTCTTGAATCCCGGGAGTCACTCCTGCTTCGTCGCCTTCTGTAAGACGAAGAGGCTGAAGCTCGTGCCTGATCCCTCTCAGCTACCAGCTGGGACACCACTGACGTCAACTCACTGATCCTTGCAATCAAGGCCTCTGTCTGTTGTCTTTCTCTGGGCGCTGATCTCGATCTCCTCGGTGGTGAGGGTGTCCTTCTCGTCACTGGTGATCTTCTTGGTGGTGTCCTCGGTGGAGGTCTTGTTGCAGGGGCAGGTCGTGCTGCAGATCCTGTTGAGGATGCCCTTGAAGGCTCAGGGGGCACTGGAGGGCTTGCTCTGGTCTTTGGTGCCCTCGGTGCTTGCTTTTGGTACTGGTGCCAATCCAATACCTCTCACCTCACAGACCTCATCCAGCAGACTCATGTCCCTCTCGTTCATCTCACAACGAGCCAAGTCGCACAATCTCCCTGCATGATCCTCTGCCTCGGTCCTGGCATCTGTGTTGATATGCTGGCAGTGATCACATCTGCCACGACACCCACCTGACATCTGAGCCCAACTGGTTCGAGCATTGGCATGTGTCAGACTGCAACTGATCTGCAAGAACTCCAAACAACTTGAAACCAACCAGCCCAGGGCCACACTCCTGTGCCGGTTCCTCCTGCAGTAGGCTACCACCGCAACTGATTTGCCTTCTTCAACTGCTCGCTTCACATGCTTCACTCTCCTGACCAAGGAGTGCATGATTTGCATCGTCCAATCATTGCGCACAAGCCCTGCCAAAATGTCAGGGTGAGTCCCAATGTGACTCCGCAAGCTCTTGTCATGATGAGGGTCTCCAAGTTCCAAGGTGTCAACCACAAAGACGTCCCTGCCACCCAAGCCAAAGTTGTGGCAGAGTCTCTCCAAGTTGCGCGCTGATGGATCGTTGCAGTAAGCGTCCAAAGGAGGGCAAAAATCTTTCCCTGCAGTGTAGATCAGCACTTGCTGTCCAGAAGGGGCCCTGGTGCGAGGAGTGGTGCCAACATACCATGTTGTCAGGGGCTTTCAACTCCCTGATCTGCGTTGGTGTTTCTTTGAACGACATGTTGATCAATCCCTTGCTCAGGCAAACACACAAAAGTCCTGAATCCTTGGTTCTGTGCAACTTCAAGATGGGTCCATCTCTACCAAGTGTGCATGTGGATGTTGCCATGTCCTTCACCAAACCCAATGCTGCTTGAGCATATTGTGACTGCAACAAAGGTGTGGGGTCACCAGGCTCCCCAACCACATACGTTTCCAAAACACCTGGCAACTTCTTACCACCTTCGGGTTCCAACACAAATGGAATTGTGTATCGACCCTCGGTGCGCACATTGCCTGCAAGACCTTTGAATGCCTTCTGTTCGTCTGACTGCATAGGGACATCAAAACCCATGTTCTTCAACTTGGCTTTGCATGTTTCCATCCATTCATGTCCACAAACCGTCGAGTTGCAACCCTCGTCCAACACTCCCCAGACATGTTCATCGTTAAGAACATCAACCACTGGGAGCACACTGCACTCCAGATCGTCCTCCAAAGGGGAAGCGCCATATACCCTGCATGGGTCGCCTCTCTGACTTCCATCACAGCCTCAATTGCGTTGCGCAAGATGTCGATCATGACACTGGCACGCATGTTGGGGTCATGTTCCAACTCAATTTCACAATCATGTTGATATTGGTGCATCACAGCCACTGAGTCATCGGTACTCAAAAGGAGTTCCAACCTTTCATACTTCAACAGATCTTCTGCCAGGTCTACCAGGGGTGCAGCAGGCTGACTCACAGCCCTTCCCAAGGCTTCCCTGCACTGTCCTTCATCACGTGGCATCTCGTCCACATGGGTTCCACACAACAGACAAAACGTTCTGCTGGTGCTCTTGGTTGATCCCCTTTTGTCGGTGACTGCAATGGTTGCATGTCTCAGGGTCATGGGTATATGTTGGATGGGGTCCGTGTGACTCTTCCACAATCCCTGCATGTCTTGCGCTCGACGTATGCATTGGATCCCAACAGGCAGAAATCCTTGCAAACGTGGCCAGAAATCTCCACAGGGGGATTTGGAGGTTTCTTCGTGGCAGTCTTGTGCCTCGATCCCGGCACAGGGGCAGGTCTTGGCTGCACTTCTTCTGGGGCCAGTTTTGGGGTTACTTGATGGGTTCCATGGTCAACATCATAGTACATATCAACCCAATCCAACAAGCTCAGGATTCTTGAAGTACCAGGCTCATTGCGTCCCCAAACGTAGTACCCAGGGTATTGCATCAACACTTCATGATACGTATAACCCTTGTGCTGTCCAAACGTGAAGACATGGTCACTTCCAGGGGGCAAAGTCATGTCACTCATTGGATCCACTCTCTTGGCACGAAAGGCAGGCATCCTTGGCACACGTGGGCCTGATGCATGACTTGACACCTGGGAAAAGCTACCATCACTGGAGGCAGGGGATGGTCGTAGTGGGGACCTAGCTTTGGCCTTGGCAGGGGATCCATGAAGGGTTCTATAACCCATATACCCACATTTCTTCTTGTTGCTCCCTGCTCCAATGACCACACAAGGCAATGGGCCACTATCATCTCCTGAGGAATCACTCAGGGCAAAGTAGCCAACCTTCCCTTGGCTCGGCACTTGACCTGGGACCGATGCAGTGGCATTCGGCTTCTTGTTCGGCATTTTGCATTCTGGGTCACCTGCCCAGTGTCCATAGCCTCCACAGCGTAGGCAACGACTGTTCTTCTTCAGACTGGCAAGTCTGACCTTCCTGTCTTGCATGGACAATTGGGTCTTCACAACCCTCTCGCCCTTCCCCTTTCCTTTGTCCTTGCCCTTTCCTGATCCCTTAAAGGGTCCTTTCCCCCTGGCACGTCCCACGGCAGCGTAGGCCTGCAACTGGTGTTGGCATGCTTCTCCAAGTTCCTAAAGACCCTCTGTTGAGGCCTCGTCCATGTCACAGGCAGCCATGGCAGTCAGGGCAATGCCAAGGTCTTCATCTGACACCCAGTCACAATCATCTGGGTCCTCTGTACTGGGCTCATCGCCATACCCAACATAGGCTCCATCGTCGTAGTCCTCATTCCAGTCGTAGTTGTCTCCATCAACAGCTGCTTCATCACCTGCATGGCCATCATACTCACCTGCAATGTAGCCTGATTGATACCACCCCTTTCCCTTGTTCTTGCCTGCTCCTTTCGCTTGAAAGGGCTTTGAAGGAGGGGCCAGATTCCTTGAATCCCTCAAATGGATCCTTCCATGGATCAAGATCTCACTGTATCCCTCAAAGCTGGGCTTCGGGCAGGCAGTCTTGACCATGAGTTGTTCCTGTCGGCTTAGGCCTGATGTTTCAAGGAGAAGTTCAGCTCGCATCTGGGTGGAAATTGCCATCTCTGGGTCAAGTTCTTTAAGCTGAATCCACCATCGTTTCCTCCTTCCAAGGAAGGACAAGATAGTCTCTGCAGACTGTCGACTGAGGGGGCCATTTGCCTGTTGACCAAGCCTGAAAAGCTCCCTTGCCTCATGTGACCTCAAAGGGAACACATGCTCCTTGATTCTCTCCACCAGCAATTCCAGTCCGGTAGGAGGGCCAACATCCATCAATGCCTTCAGACCCAAGTCCTTCGCCATGAGGAATGCATCACCTCTGAGCCCTTCCATGACCTTCGTGACAACCATGACCTTCGTGACAAGCGCCACGTAGGGGGAAACATCGACCACGTCTTCATCACCTTGCTGACTTCGGGGCGTAGCACTGTGAGCACTGTGAGGCGAGGCAAAACCACCAACCTCATGTTCGCCTGATCCTGACGGGGCTTGGGGCGACACTTCAGCAGCAGCTTCTTCTTCTGCATCCTCTTGTCTTGCCGCATCTGTCGGCTGACGTCTCCTCCGGCCACTGCTAGCAGGGCTGACCGGGGAACTCGATGCTTCCTTGGCCTTTTCCTTGGCCTTCTGTTCCATCTTCTTCTTGCAGAGTTCTACACGAAGAAGGGTTCTGAATTGCCATTCGTGAAAGTGGGACGGCTCTCCACTGTACACGTAGGCCCCACTTTTCGTTTCCAACGGTCCTGTAGGACTTCTCGGGCAGTACCTCAGGCCGGCTATCGACATGGCGTTCGATGGGATTTCGACGATCCTTCAGGATGTTTCGACGTTACACACTTACACACACAACAAACACACAGGTTTCGGACCTAGGCTATCACCGTGAGAGTCCGGATGTCGGGAGTGAACTCTCCGGCAACCAGCTCCGCTACCAGTTTGAACTGCGATAGAGACCGTTTTTGCAACCAACAGCTCAAGGGCCCTAAGTTAGGGTAGTTTGAACCAAAGTTACACGCCAAGGAACATGGTGTAAGGATCTAATTGATCTCAAACTCACACAAGCAACGACCGAATTCTATCCACACAGAATCGAGCGGTTCTCGAAAACAGGTCTGCAAACATTAACATTTCGCAAAATCCCTGCAAAACCCTACAAGCCAAGGAATTCACCCCAAAGCAGCCCTGTACTCTGTGAGCCTTGCCCAAACCTACATTAAACGCCAGGTTGCTGTATGGATACGCTATGTTTAAATATATGATATTTTATGATATTTTTATGTATATATTATGTAGATATATAATGTACATATCTTGCCAGCCAAGCTGCATTTACAAAGTGAACTGTTTGAAGCCACAGCAGCAGCAAGCTCGGAAGAGGAAGAGGAGGAAGTGCTTCACCAACGGTTGCAACGGTTGCATCGTTTTGCCCTTCAAGTCGAAGTGCGGCGTCGTTCCTGTCGTGTTTGTCGAGTTCGTCGAAGACGTGTCCGGCCAGAGCCTCCCAGGCCTCAGCGGCCAGGCGCTTCGCCTGCAGCGGGTCCTGTTCCTCCAGAGCGCCCAAGACGTGCATCCACGAAACAACATCTTTCTTTCTCGACAGAGACACCACTTGACTCGCCAGGAAGGCACGTTTCACCGCGGCAAACACGTCCGTGCCGTCCAGACTCACGCCTGTCATGAGTCGAGCCACGGCCGTTTGAGTCCGCCACTGCCCAAATTGCGTGGCTTCATCCACGTCGATCAAAAGCTGACGCCTCAACAAAATGCGAAAAGCTGAGCTGTCCGAGCTGTCCGAGCAGTCGTCGCAGTCATCGCAGTCGAAAAGCTGGCGGTAGTGCATTTGAGCTGCATGAGGAAGGCCTTTCAAGACACTTCGGCATCTGATCTTCAAGTGGTTCTTTGCATCTCGAGACAAGCATCTGGAAGAACTCTGCATCTGTTGAATTTCCCTGAATTCTGAAAACTGCAGAATTGGTTCCAAGCAGACCAGAAACAGCTCCATTTCAGACGAGTGCATGGCACTGTCTGGTTTTCACCTTCACTTCCAACTAGTTTTCTTGTGTAGCGGTTGCCTGTAAGACACCACTAAGACACAAATAAGACACCTGTCAATCTGATTCAATTCTGCCAACCTCAGAGTCCGAGGATTGAAGTGGATTGAACCGGATTGAAGTGGATTGTCTTTGTTTACCCATGTTTACCCTTTTGGGGAAGCGATATGCTGACACCATGCTGACACCATGCTGACGCCCATTGGCCCTTGTCATGCCGAGTTTTTGGCGAGCCACTACAGCTGCAGAATGTGTCAACAAACTCTTGTCGGCAGAACAAAAAAGGCGAACAACATCTAGATCATCTACGCCTTCTTTCTTCAAAGTACGATCGTTTCAAAAGTCTGTCCCGCCAACGATGTCCTCGACACCAAGCTGAAGTGTGATGCTGGTGGCTTTCAACACATCGTATTTATTTTGGGCCTGCACCATTCACGGATCCGACATTTGCTCGACTATTTTTCACAAACAGGCTGTAGGTTGTCCTATGAATCTATAAATCTATCATAGCACTCTGCCCGAACTTCTACCACACATCACAACATGCAGCCGCAAAACCGCTGTGTACACACAAACAGTCAACAGTTAGACCATTAGTTAATACTAGATAATTAGGTATAATTTATCAAATGTCTAAAAGCAATGCTCTAATGGCTACCGTTTTCAGGTACAGCTTGGACAAAACTACAGGTACGGTCAGCAGGGTACGCATGGTACGGGACATGGGTACGTAGGTGCGGCACATGGGTACGTAAGTATGGTACTGGGTACCATACCCATGTACCGTACCCACCGTACCCACCATATGTACCCAGTTAGCGACCGATCTAGCAACCAATTTTTTAAGACAAAAATGTTTTGTAAAGGTCTTTATTAATAATAAATTTAAAAAGATATATATATATATATAAAGCAACATCCAACTGCAAGTGGTTCCTTTCCATTCTCGATCTGGATCCTTGATGATGGGTGATGGTGATGGGTTTTATGACGATGGGTTATATGATTATGATGATGATGGTGATGATGATGATGGTGATGATAGTGGTGATGGTGATGATGATGATGATGATGATGATGGGTTGTGGGCACACCAGAAACCATTCGCCCGCTGACAATGCCATTTTGATCAGCGAATGCCAGCTAAGCTCAACTCGTCCTGCGACTGTGCGCAGCTCAGATCCACATGGATCCACCCCCAAAAGCATTGAACTTTGAATCCCAAATCTCACTGGGTCAAAACCTTCCTCACAAGCGGGTGATCAGCAGGGCCTTCATTCCATGCCCACCTGAGAATTGATGGGCGCATGGGGTGGGAAGACTAAGAAAAAGTAGATTGGTCAAAGGTAAAATGTATTCATCCCAGATACTCACGGCGAGCTTTGACTGCAGCCTCTCTCTTGTTGTCCTTTGCCTTTGCCCAAGCTGTTGAGTAAACCTTGGGCGACACGTGTTGTTCTTTTTTGGGATGTTTTTTTTAAATAATTTTAAACCGTTTACAAAGCGAAAACATTGCACTAAAAAACTCAGCCTAGAAACAGAGTGCATCTTTTTGAACACAGGATCCTCCCTCAAACTGGATTTCTTCTTCAGGGTCGTTGCTTTTGCTTTGGGTGTGGCCTTTTTCTTGGGGCAAACCTTTGCCTTAGCCTTAGCCTTAGCGGCCTTAGCGGTACTCTTGCCATTCTTGGAGTTTTTTTTCTCGGCAACCTTGGAGGTTTTTTTTGCGTCAACCTTGGCCTTGGCTGAAGGTTTGCGTTTGGGAGTGGGACCCTTGCGGACCTTGGAAGCGGCAGTTGGGGTGGTCTTCTTGCTAGGCAGGGGCTGCTGCTCCTCAGGTTTCTCCATGGCCATTTCAGACCCAGATTCCGAGGAAATTTCACCACCCATCATTGTGTCATTGACATCTCCTCCCATCATTGTGTCATCGGCATCTCCACCCATCTCTGTGTCCTTGACGTCTCCATCCATCATAGCTGGATCCTGTCAAGCCAGAAAGAATAGAACTTATTGGCCATGTGATCAATATTTACATAAGCCCCAGAGAGAAAGAAATATATGAAGGGAAAGTCAACCACAACCTCATCCCCATCAATTATGGTTGAAAAATATTTCAAGACTGTTTGAAGGCAGCTTTGGTGCGGTTTGAGGCCATGTTTGAAGACTGTTTCAAAACTGTTCTGAGGTCATGTGCGCCTCTTCTACAAACAAAGCTCGAGGCTCCAGGACCGAAGAGCCAAGCTGCTGGAGTCGGCGGAGGGCAACCTTAGGGATGAATAAAATGGGATGGCTTTGGGGTGCATCAGATCGTTTTTATTTTGGAATTTAGAACATCATCTCAAACCATTCTAGCTTAGAAGCATACCGTTCATATTCCGGAAGCCCTTCCTGGTTGTCCGGTGGGCTTGGAGTGCGGTCTGGGGTCTCGAGATCCACCGCTGGGGTGCATGCGTCGAGCTCCGTGTCAGCACTGTCTGGGTTGAAGCGCTGGTCATCATAGTCTTGGACTTCCGAGGCCCTTAGAGACCAATTACTGTAATTCAAACCCAAGCAGGGCAAGTCTCAAACTAATCATTTGAATCCATATATTCCCTTTAAAATGATTTAAGACAAATGGCTCCATGTCTTCGCCAGTCTCTTCGTGAGTCTCATCAGGAACAGGTTCATGAGGAACATGTCCCATAATCCAAGGCAAGGTCTCTAAGGTCTCTAGATACCGGGGCAAAGTATCACCGTCATATTCCTCAGGGGCAATCATAGCATCACCTCCAAATTCCATTGGGAAAACTGGGTGCTCTGGTGCTTCTTCATGACCAGTCGTCCTTAATGAAGTGGCATGTGTGGCCATCAAACATCAAACATCAACACAGACATCAAATAACAGACAACATAAAACACATACATCAGCCATCATCAAACATCATCAAACATCATCAAACATCATCAAACAATGAAACGTCATGGGTCTTACGCTCTGACATCTCAGTAGTCTCCTCCTCCGGTAGGTCCTTCTTGGTGTCAAGGTGCTTGCACTCGATCATGTGAGCAAACGGCAATGCCTGGCGCATTGGCGAGTGGTTTCAGGAACATATTTGGTTCAGGAACCCTAGTGATGTTGTAATCAAACTCTTAAAGAAAGTTTAGCCTCATCATCACGCTTTCTTGACGATGGTTTCTTCATTCCACGGGTAGCCCTTGACGCTGCGGGCTTCTTGGCTGGTTTTCCTGAACCTTCTTCCTCCATGCTCAACAGCTCTGACAAACCATCTAAACCAAAGTCATTCTGGTCATCATCATCGTCCTCATCATCTCGGCCGCCCCCAGGCAGATGTGCATGTTCATGGTCAGGCTCTTCATCATCGTCATCACGTTTAGTCTTCTGTGTTTTTCTCTGTTTGGGTTTCCCTGCTTCCTTTTTGGATTTCTTTGACTTGGGTTCTTTGGGTGTCTTCTCCGAACCCTCCTGTCCAGCGGCATCTGGCGAGGATTCATCAGAAGAAAACCGCGGAGGCAAGCTGTGGGACTCTGCAGGACCTTGGAACAGTACTGGTGTGGATGAAATATTTCAGATATATAAATTTCAGATATATAAAACATGTTGCTACTTGATGAGGCCGTTTGCCACGCCAATCAAAGAAAGGAGGAACAACAAAAAACATATAAGAGGATATGCATCATTTTATTATTATGTTGTTCCAAACATCATTTATGATATGAAGCATCGGTTTAGTATTACAATGATTTCTACAACCATCCAGCATCCTATTTGGAGTTTTGAAGTATAACCTTTGAACCCCAGATTTGAGGATGTTGCAAAAACCATGGCCAAACATTCCCCCAGATTGAATTACCCAGCCCCATGAAATGGGCCCATATTGAATCACCCAGCCCCATTTTTTGGATTCTTTAGGGGGATCTGGTTCCAAGACCTTACTTGTCGAAAAGGCAAAGGGCTTGGACGCGGTACCGACGCAGCAGCTTCTCGAGAAGGCTGTGGGGTACGGAGTGGTGGCCGTGCTGGCCGATCTACTGAAGATGACCCGGGTGTAGACAACATTGCACCCAAGTCAAAAGCCTCAGGCCAAATGATACTCGAAGTGTTAACCCGTCATGATATTTACAATGTGAGGCCCCCACGATAGCTAAGTTGGTTTATAGCTCCAATAACTATGGTTTATGGTCTTATAAACCAACTTATAACTGGGAGGGGCCACATTGTAAGTCTAAGTGATACTCAGAGCTTTTACATCTCAAACATGGCCCAAAGAAAGATCAACATCATTATGGATATGGGTTTCAATTTGGGGATTCACTATCATGGTCCCAGGGGCAGGTGGGCGGAACGATGGGTTAACCGTCAAGCATTGCACACTCTCCGCATCACTGTCCTGATGTTCCTTGGCAGCCTTGGAAACCCTTTTTGGTGGCATGGCCCGAGTAGCCCTAAGCCTAGATCTACACCTCACTTGGACTTGAACCTTTAGGGAGCAATCGCAGAGGGCATCAGATCAATAAAATGTTAAAGCATCCGAATTCACAATCCAAAGCAGTAGATATTACAGTAGCATCCAAAGCAGGTTCACCAGTCTTGCAAATATATAGCAAAATTTTGCCACATGTGTCGACACGTGTTCCCCCAACAGCCACTGCTAGATGTCAGACTGCATCCGGTGATCCAGCCCACAAATCACAAATCCGAGTTGAACCCCAAAACAATCATACCAATGACAAATTTGAATATGGCATCCTTAAAAGTATCCAGTGTATTCAACACAGTTACAGCACCAGAAAGAAACAACATCTTTGAACAATTCAGGGGATAACGCCGGTAACAGGAGGGGCTCAAGCAGTGCTTCTAGCTAGCATGGCCAACACAGCAGCGCAGGCCACATCGAAAACATACTATATCTAAGAACATCATTTCCTAGATGAGGATCGATGGTTTCAATATGTTTCAATGGATAGCTTTGCGCCACTTTGAAATACTGAAAGATTATCCAGCCGCTGTGTGCTGGTTTTGAAAGGTGAAAGATCATCCAGCAACTGTGTGCTAGTTGAATCACAAAAGCGATCCCCCCGGGAACTCACGCCACCTCACATCAAACGCACCACGACCTGGTCCAGGTCCATCACACCCGCCGTGCAAGCAATTGGTCGGATTGGCACCAGCTTTGAACCATTGCTCTTTGTCTCAAGCCTGGCAAGTTTAACATTAATGTACAAATCCCATTATAGCAAGTCAGCCAGTAGACACACTACATTGAACAGTGAAACAACCAAAACTGATTTGCGCACCTGGCACGCCACCCAATGACCAACTTGGAACTTCCCTTGATTTTTGTAGTTTGCAAACACGAGCCGAAGTTCTTGAAGTTTGGACCGGGTTTCGATTTGTTCTCACCTCTCTTTCGCTTCTTGGTACCCTTCTCTTCATCTTCAGGTTTCTTGTTATCCATCACAAAAACCAGCGGTTTCTCAGATCGCACCGAATTGTCAGCCAATGTGTGGTGGCTAACGGTCAGCTTGACCTTGCAGGAGTTTGACTTGAGTTGGAACACCACCAACATAGAATAGTTTGTATTATACATTATATAACAAGTCGCCATGAAGTTATCTAGTTCAACATCAATTTACATCAAGTTTGAAGGCAGCAGTCAAACCTACTCAAAACAACCATGACCCGTTAGACTTTTTTGGAAACACCCGTGGGGTTTTAGGATACCCAAACCTCTCCACAATCCTCCAACTGCAGCACCAAGTCTTGAAGGGGGGTCGGAGTGTCCACTGCAGACAAGGAAGCAAGGTGAGCAGGTAGGCCTTTTCCTTCAAGTAAGATGATGGTCTGCATCGTGACACCAAAACTGAACCACCGCCCATTGCCATCTGCACAAACTTCTTCTGCTTCCTAGGCGAAGGTGTTGTTTGGATATTCTCAGAATGCTTGGTAGGTCTTTCTCCCAACTTTCTAGAACAAGCTGTGCAATTGTTCTTTCTTGTCACAAAGTTCTTTGCACTAAGTATGCCCTCCAAGTGTCAGCAGCTTCACGCCACTCGCCGCTTCCAAATGAAAACCTGGGCTGACGTGTGCTGGAAGACAACTTGACCAACTGAATGGGGGCAACTTGTAACTTGTTCAACGACTGGATCGACAAATTGATTTATATATTGGTTCTTTGAAATTATAGATTCCATTTTCCAAGATATAGATGAGGAACAGCTCTCTCCACTGCAAAAACTGCGTTTTGCCTGTGGAAGCCAGCAGCAAAGTCGACCCATCTTCGTCGGTGATCAACTCTGCACAAGAGTTGATCTGAAATTTTTTCCTGGGCATGATGGAAATTTGAGTAGGGTCTTGGTTTGGTGTTGGATGATACTTAGTTGTCCCAGAAGTAACATATCATATCAGATAATCAAATGTTTTTTTATTAAACACCCACTAACCATCAGCCATAACTTCCGTTCTATCTATGATGAGAAATGAAACCATACTTGACATTGTCTTGCCATTGGCATTGGGATCCATGGGCCATTAGATTCTGCCAGGAGGCGGCTTCTTCAAAGCTGTCACGTCAGCATCAGAGGCCCGGTCCGAGGGTTCAATCTTGATGCGTTTGTTCGCAGGCTCAGCACTTCCAGGATCCCTCCTAAGGCTATAAGGGGCTGAAGTGAAGCAAAACTTAAAATGGATTGAGGTTTGACATGGTAACCCTAGCTGAGTTTTTTATCCTTAGCTGATTTTTTGGTAACCACAGCTGTTTTTTTGGGCCCTAGCTGATTTTTTGGTACATATGGTCCTGACTTCAGGTTCCTCCACAAAGTCCCCATCTGGGTTGAATTTTTTGTTGTGGGCCTCTACGAGGTTTGTTGCTTCAAGTTTGAACTGCTCTGACTGGAGCCACTGTTGGGCAAGCGCTCCCAGCACCACCAAGCGAGGACCTCGCTTCACACAAACCTTGTACTCATTGATCTGAACCTCGGGTTTTGCATCCTTCAGCCCTTGGATGTACTGGGAGAAATCCGGAAACCCAGCCAACTTCAGGCTTTGAGTCCGACATGCCTCATACACCGCATTGGCCAGGTACTGTTGGATCCCATCTGGCTTGGTGTCAAGGACCACGCTGGCACAAAAGATTCGCTGGTCACGGGCAGCTTCCTGGGAGTTGGAGACTTGAATATTTTGGGTTCTCACCTCATTTGATTTGAATCTATGAAAGGGTGACTGGGGTATAGGGGTGATAAGTCCCAATATACATACAACCTCCATGGTAACTTCCAATGCCATACTACCTCCATGAAAATTCAGGATTATAGGTCCAGGTATGATATAATATATTAATACTGCCTCCATGATAACTCACTATTATAATATATTAATATTATTATATATAACACATATAATCACATATACTACCTTTCCATGATAACTCACCATTATAATTAATTATAACCAATGATATTCTGCCCCCAAGATAGTTCATAATTATAAATATGTACATATTATTTCAGAAATATTACCCTCATGATATTTAACCCAAACAATATATCATATTTTTTATTTTAATGATATATAATCCATAAATAGTACCCCCATGATAACTCACAATTATATATAACCCATAACCAAGATGATATAAGTATCCCCATGATAAATCCCAATGGTAGATTACGTAACCCATACATGCGATCCCCCAGATAACTCGCAATTCTGTACAACTGTATGACCCATATATACTACCCCCATGATAACTCACAATGGAGTTATCATGGGGCTAGTATATATGTGAAAAAAAGCCACATGATAATATATACTTTTTGGTTTGGCCTTTTTGGGGCATCCCAATGTCCTGCAGGACAGCAAGAGCTGGCCACCCATCATAGCAGTGCAGATCGATGACAAAGGTCGTCGCCATAGTCGCGGGCTTGCACAGGGAAAGGGTTTGCTCAACAAAATGAGTCCCTCCACTGACCTCAAAAGACATGGCCACAAAATATGGGGCAGGATGGGCCAAGATGGGTCAAGTAGCACTTTGTTGAACCCTCTTCCATTAAATCAAAGACCTTTTGGTGTAAAAATCCGTCCAATTTCGATCGTATCCTGAAACCTTCACATATCCTAAAATTATGGTTTTGGACCAAAAAGCTGATCAATCAGTAAGTGAGTTTCCTGCTTGAGCTCCTGGACGTCTGTCAGAGCTCTTCCAAGGTGAGGAAGATTTGCCTTTCCAGCGATCAAAGCCTTGGACAAGGCTGCGCAGGGCAAGGAAGCTTAAGTTTGATTTGGGGGTATGACGAGCAGTTATGACCAAAAGAACTGCAGCCACCATTTTTCCATAATTCTTGGAACATCAAATTGCGAGTTGGTCAAAACAAGAAACTTGTGGCTTGAACATGTTGGATCTACTCAGCATCTCCACGTTGTCCACCACCCCCCGGTTCCAAAGGCTACATCGCCGGAAGCTGTTTGCCTTGTCCATATGCATCACTGCGATCCCTGTAATGGCACCGTCTCTCTTGCCGTAGATGCTCTCCTGACAGGAGCTCACTAACATGGAGATTGGTTGACATGCAATATACATGTGCTCAGTTCAAAAAAAATAATATTATAATGCTGATACTTACCAATAATTTTCCCCCTGAAGATTCAAATCGGTTTTCAAAAACACAAGATCCAGAATACCCCATCTCATCCCCTCTCGCTTAATTCATTCATGTCTTGAAGGCGAGAAGTTCGGATTTATACGATATCTTCCAGAAGATTTCAGAAGGCCTCAGGCAGGGGTGGATTGGGCCGGCGCACCTTTGAGAAGACCCATGTCACGTTCCTCACAACAAGATTCCGTTCTTTTGCACTCAAGTCTTTCCTTGGTTCCGGAATGGTGTGGAGTCCGGAGGATGAGGGACACTATCATCATTATACCATACAGTGATCAATAATTGATTGTTTGGACACTATTGTCATTATATTATACCATACAATGATCAATAATTACATCTGAATGTTTCAGAAGATTTGACAGTCCCTATGCATGATCACCCATAAAAAGAAGAGTGTCTCCAGATTGTAGCGGACGTCCCGCACATCGGCCTCATCTTTGGCCCCATCCCTGTCGTTGCTGTCTGAGTCCGAACCTGGGTCGTTCTTTACGGAGCCCTCGTCAAGGCAGTCCTCGTCCTTCATGTCGCCGTCCTCCTCCTTCTTGGTGTTCCTGCAAGGGAAATGACATATTATAATAAGGAATACTTATTGCTCTCCAAAACCATCCAGATTTTTTCAGCAGTACCAGTATAAAAGCTATCCAGAGTAGTAGGGGCCCCATTTGAAGTAAAATCCCATTAAAGCCACTCCCCTTCCTTCTTAGTTACTTTAGTCCTGTTTGGCTGCATCTGGGCGGCTCGGTTGGGGTGGACCAGCAGGGCGATGGAGTTTTTTTTCATCATCGTGAGCAAGGTCGTCACCGACGTCAGCAAGAAGTCGTACTTGCTTGCTCCGATGATGCCGGCCGTGGGCAAGTTCAGCCAGATCACCAGCCCATGGTCATCGCTGCTTCGAGCCTCCGGCACCTCTGAGATGCTTTCCTGCAGCCATGCTGCAAGGGACGGCAAGACCGTACTTTCAGCATCTGCACTTCGGCCAGCAAAGAGCCGTAGGCTCGTCCCAAGATATTCAGAAACCACCTTCCACGCCTTCTGGTGACAAGCCTCCCAAGTAGCCAGGTCTGGGGTGACTGATCCAGATCTCAACTATTCATGTTTGGTCACAATAGTTTGTGCTATGGTTTCATTCCTAAACCCCTGGCAGGCTAGGATGGAATGGGTGCCTTCAAATGAAACAATGATAGTTGGAAATAGCATCTCACAAGTTAGGACCCAACCCCCAAGATGCACCTCCAGCTGGCCAACCAATTTGGCTCGCCGTTTGGCGCTTTCCTTCTCACTCCTTGGCAGGCGATAAGCTTGGACATGCTTGGGAGCACGGACCCCGGCAGTGGGAGGAAGAGGAACATGGTGGATAGAAGGAGGTAATACGTTTAACCTAATTTGGATGTTATTTCAACATGTCTTATGAATGCTGATCTTTCTACCGTGTCCCAATGCAGTGTCAGGATGTGAGCAAGAATGCCCAAACAAAGAGCTTGTTTATTAATAAAAAACACCACAAGATCACAAACGCTTGTTTATTTTGCTGGGTTTCAAGATCTGCTCGGACTCAAAGATAACTCCATCAGCGTTCAGTTGCTCCGCCCAACAATTGTAAGCTGCCTGCAAGCTCTTTGTCTGGGCATTCTTGCTCACATCCTGACACTGTGAGATGTAGTCTTCCAAGCACTCTCCGCGGAGCTGCAGGGGGAATGGATGGATGGCTGGGTTTATTCTACCACCACTCACCCATACAGAACATTGTTACTTAGACTAAATGCTTAGTATACTCATATCTCATGATCTTCTTTGCCTTTTGATCCCGGCAAGACGCTATGTCATGAAGATTGGATAGACACACGCATAAACAGTTGTCATGATATCGAAATATCATAGGAGTGAAATAGTACAATACAATCCTGATCAACATATACTGTCAACTTGATGTTGGACCACGGAGGTCTCAGCCTGCAGTCCCTAGGCCAAGGTTTATTTTCGAAAGGATCGGCATACATGTCTCACCCGGGATAATGATATCTCCGGTCCAATATTGTCCAATATAATTTGAAAATAATATTGTCTATATGGTAGTTGAACTATCATTGAACTATCATGAACTATCATAATATTACCTATATTTATTATATATTTGGATGATCCCTTTTGAAGAACCAGGGCCTCCAAGATGAAGCTAATCCTTTCCCACTCGAAAGGTTCTGCAGCCTTTGCCAAAGCTCCAAGATCCGCATCGAGGCTCCTCAGACTGGCTGGGGTCAGCGGAAACACAAAACACTGAAAGGGGGAAAAAAAACATGAAAAAACGATTTCCATTATTTTCCTCAAAATATCAATCACCCTCCAAAGTTTAGCTCAGATTCGGGGATATGACGGGGTTTCTGGAAACCCCATCACATTTCCTAAGGATGTGCAAAAAACAATAACCTGAAAGTTGTTGGCGGGATGGCCCCCAAACGATTGCTTCCCCGGATACCTATGAAATTGTGACGGGGTTTCTGGAAACCCCATCACAATTTGGAATTGATGATAGATTTTTCAACCTGATTGGCTTTTGCCAAATTCGTTGAATGAATTGTGACGGGGTTTCTGGAAACCCAATCACACAATCACCTGAACTTTTGGCTCGCGCCAAACCAAATACATATTGGCATTTGTGATTGGTTCAGTCCATGTTTTGATATCCATGTTTTGAATGATCATGCATCCCAGAATCCCCTTGGAGAAGAGGGCAGCGCACTTCTCCACCGTGGGCTTTGGAAATGTTGACTCCAGCTTCGGCAAAAGATATTCCCAAAGACAGCAAACATCAAACAGAAGCTGATGCCTTTCTTCGTCCAGTTGCGCTTGTTTCTGCAAGGTGGATTGGTAGCAAAAAGATCTAGACTTTTATGATCCAAATTTATGATGATTTTTTGACAAGACTAATTTGGGCATCCCATGTTTCAAACTTAACATCATGTTCCACCCTCCTTCATCTTGTTGCTGCTGTCCTTGCCCACTTTGCGGCAGAAGTCCTGGGCTCTGGAGTAGTGAACCCATTTTTTTGCTGTTTTTAGAACTGTGGTTTTGACAAGAATGATTTGGACCACAAATGGTTTAAGGGTCCTGGGTTGCACGTACTCCCCACATCACAGTAATCCTTTCTGTCACATTCAAGATCTCTTGCCATTGGCTTTTGCCAGCATATTTCGCACTGTCAGCCCGGGCCGTGGAACCAGGAACCCACCAGTCGTTCTGAAGGATGTCGAGTGGGAGGCCTGGCAACGTAAGTTGGGGGTGTCAGTTGGGTCTAAGTTGGGTCTAAGTGAAAGCATGTGGCTAAACTCAGGGCCTGAGGTTTCGTGTCGGAAAAGGTCATAGTGAGAGTGAAGCAACTTGTGGAAGTTTGCAGGAGCCCTCAGCCTAGGATCAAAACCGATAAACAGATTCATAGTTGGGATTTTGAATATTACCCTTACCCAACCTTTTTCTGAAAACAGACTAGGAACAAGTTGTAGATCAAACCACGTTTGTGGGAATCGATCTTGTGTTTCTTGGACACCGCCATTTTGTTGTAAGTGGCACAAAGTCCGTTCAGCATGTCTTTCAAGGGTTTTGACTGCCCCTGCTTCTGCATTCTCTTCTCGAGTTCAATGGCTTGTAAGAAGTGACCCAGGTAGTCCACTGCTGAAGGTGTTTGTTTGTCGCTGGTCACATGCCCCAATCCTAAGATGTGGCAACAGAGAATCATCATTAGATAACTTGATCTAGTAGTGAGTATATTCATCATTAGATAACTTGATATAGTAGTGAGTATGATCCAAAACCTATGATGGTTGATAAAACCAAAAGTCGGAGAGCATGGAGGAAGTGGTGAGATGGCACATCAAAGTGTTTGTAGGCACATCTCACGAACCGGAACGATTGCAGCATGTGGTCAATCATCGGGTCGGCCAAGTCATCTGGCTGGAAGTCCTTAGAAAAGATGCAGGGTTGAGTCCTTATAGAACCAAGAAGAAACAAATCCGTTCACACTACTAAAACCTTGGATTGGGTAACACAAAATTGGGTTGGGTAACACAAAATCATTAAATTCTGAGACCATGTATCCAGCTCATGGACAAATGATATCAGGGCAATCATTGTCAAACATTTGAGCTGTCCATCATTGTAACCCACAGTGAAATCCAGAATCGCTCTGGTTGAGTCCACTGTTGGAAACTTGATTTGAACTGCATCGGCACTAATGCGATAGCCCGTCATGAACTCCTTGATGTGCGCGGAGAACTGCGCATTCTGCGGGTAGACTCAGCGCAGCGAGCAGAGGTATAATCCACACCCTAAACTGGATTTACGTAACACATTTGCGGCCCTGGGAATTCATACAAGGTGGGACAAACTAGTTTCAGTCAGGATGCAACCGTTCTTCCCATCAGGACTGATATCAAAGCAGTAGAGCGGCAACCACATCTCATCTCTGGACTCCCTTGGGACTAAATTGAGATCTGGTTTTGGTTCTCCCCGGTAGCGGTCAATCACCAAATGTTGAATGACCTGGCCAAAGTGATGGCAAATTCCTAAAAGATGGTAAAAGTACCTGCCCAAAACTATTCACATCATCGGACATCAACTTGCCCACACGGACAAACACCTGCTTGAGCGAAACCATATCCTGACTGTACTTGTTGTAGATGTAGCTGCCAAGGTTCTGCTCCGATGTGACCTGGGCCCCACACAAAGATGAGAAAGACAAACCCCTTTGACTCATTGAGAAAATCAACTAAGTTTCCATTTTTTGTTTCTTTCAGAACGCTAAATCATGCTAAATCATATGATACTCAATGCATAGTTGAGCCCTGAACCCCTTCAAAGTGGGCATAGATTTTCTGCATGCGCTCATTGGAATCTAGATCCATGGCAACGGCCAAACAGACCAAGCGCAAGTACACTCTCCCAAATGGGAACTTCGATCCTTTAAATGGTGACCAAGTCAGTTTACACACATTGAACTGGCCAAGCAGAAATCTGAGAACATGATGTGCCAGCATGAATTGAAACTTCACAGTTTCTTGGCAAACTGCAAATCGAAAGCATTTCTCCACGACGTCCTGCTCCAAGTAATCAAAGACACACCCACACTGACACTGGAGGTTGCACCAGGTCTGCAAATGTGGTATGGACCCCAAATTTGGGCGAAGGAATTTTATCCCCGGCCATGGTGAAAGACAACTTCTAACTTATGGTGTCTTGGGGGCGGTGGTCTTTCCCCCAGCTGCACCTGCCCAACCCTTGCTGCAGCCTGTGGCCCAGCTTCAACAAAACATAGTTGCTCGTATGGCTTTCTAGGTCTGCGATGGTCCATCAAACTTCTGTAGTATTGGACAGCCCTTGACATATGAGGATAGTCAGCTTCGATTTGATCGGCCAACAACCGAAGTTCATCCACCCGCGTGTCATCCAACATCGAATGTAGAACTTGTTGTGTCGAGTTGATGTTGTTCCAAAATCTTTCCACGTCACCCACTAGGGATTCTGGCCAGACTAAGAGAGGCGGTTGGATAAGAGAAGCATCACTCATGTTCCCTTTGATCATTGCGAATACATCCCTGCCATTGCCTTGGCTTCGGAGGCGAGGAGGAACTCGTTCATCTTTTGCCAGCCCAACTCCACCAGCAGGCATGGCTGACCGGGCAGCGGGGCTGCAGTGAGGAATTCCGGACTGGATACTGGATTCATAGTATGTGAACACATCATGGTATGTGAACAAGAATCGCCCTGGCCTTCTCTGGGGAAAAATGAAAACGATTGTGGTACCCGCATGTTGTTGGCTCCATCGGTCTTGCGGGATCTGTAGCAGTTTCTCATTGTAGCATTGGCTGGCATCAAAGCCGCCCAGTCCCGGATCTTAGTAGTCCCAAATCAGGGCAATGAGATACAAGATGATGCAATGCAACATTATGTTTGCAACTTGATGCATCCTAGCTACAGTGTCAACTAGTTCCACTTCCAAGGCCAAACCTTTCTTTGCAAAGTTCGGAGTCAATTTTCGCAGAATTGTCCTGGATCACCAAGATTTCAACATAGTAAAATAACCATCAAAGACAGTAAAATAGCCATCAATTCATACTTAGTAGTCAACAACTCCCTTTATGCACAACTGGCCCTCACCGTTTGCCAGGTCCTTTGGATATCCCGTGGCGTTTCGATAATGCTTTCAGAGTTCAGGCAGGAAGTGATCAAGCTGAAGACACCATCTGAGCAGGGAAAGAAAAACAGTTGATATGTGGATTATTTTGATCATGATTGCCCTGGGCCATATTAAAATAAACATGTTTTTTTCTTTCATCCCACCTATGTCTTCGTGGGTGTGTCCCACCACCATATGGTGGTGGGACCCACCCACGAAATAGTTTGCTTGCGCTAGCAAGCAAAGCCACTTCCCCGTGAAGGAATTACGGACTTCTTTTGGGCAATTGTCGCCTTGAAGCCAAAGCCTCAACTAGCTAGAAGCACCACAGATTTGGGATTGAATATATTGCACTGTTTTGACAACACAAGAGATCCAAGTATAAGCCCCCTACTCCCATGGAAACGGTTGATTCCTTGCACGTGCTTGCTGCCAGGCTCGATCGATGCTCCTCATTGCCTAAGGAGAGGGAAGGTACCAGGGGCCAGGAATTTGAACCAACATACCTACTACTATTTGAAATTTATAGTGAAACATATTCACATATTCTTCAAGGAAGACTTCCACACCGTAGATCTTTTTCAACCCTCATTTGTACCGATTGCAAACAAGTAGCAACTTCAATTGTCCATGAAGCCCCAGTAGCCATGCCTTCATCTGCAATGTAGATATAAACGCCATATCCATGCACGATGGTTCCCGTCAAGGTCAAAGATGTACCTTGTATGAAACTTATGTGAAGGAGATCTTTATCAAACATGATGGTTCAATCAAACTGTGTCATCCATTTGAACAATGTTTCAATGTATGCCCATCTTGGTTGAGATACGATGGGTTGCCTCGTAGATTGGACGTTTGGGGGTCCTCCCAAACCTCCACCGTGGTAATACCAACTTGCACTTGTCAAAGCTATCCAGTATCATGACCAACAGATCAGACTGGGACCTTGATCTCTGCCTTGCCGCATAGTAGACCTGTCGGTCAGCATAAGTCTCACAATAGTGAGACAGCAGCTGGTCAGAGAGCCTGCTAATCTCCTGGAAGTCCTGATTCCAATGGCAAGGGCGATAACCTAAAACTATCAACTAATTATCTTAAAGCAAACATCATCCCAAACAAATATAAATCATTTCATACTAAAGCTGGAAGAAGAATCAGCAGTCTTCAAAATGGCAGACCGCAGAGTGCTGCATGTCAGACAAATCTGATGGTGTGTTCGGCGATGGAACTTGATGCAAACTTTCCATTCTTGGATCACGTTGAAAAAAGTTGACCGGGATGCTGGAGAGTCATGGTGTTCATCATTAGATTTCATCCAGGCTCTGTATAATAAGTACATGTTCATCCAACTCCCATGCGGCAACTCTCTCATGGGCAACCGGTTCGGGTCGTGATTGCAGGAGATCTGACATGTTGGTCCTACGAGGCGGGAGTCCACTAACCTGTCCAGTAGTTCTTGACGTAATTCATCATCAGCTCCGTTGATGACTGACTTGGAGGCTATCCTAAGGTATGCTTGGAATCACGTCAGATGTGTTGCAGGATAGGACCCAACACTCTGTAGCATTTAGGATGAAGTACCTGATTTGAAGTTGAGTCACGATGTCGGCATGGGCTCCGAAGCTGTGAAATACATATGAATCATGAATGCACGGACCGATGCAGTCTTGATTGCAGGTGGTGCGCTTTGTCCTGAGTGAGGTAGTGTGAAGGGCAATGACAGCTGGTCACTGAAAAGGCCAAATCTTACTATGTTAACTCCATATCATTTTATACATAAACGCTTTAATCTTTTTTTCCAACCTGGGCTCCACCAGGGCAACTCATGGTGCGGAGGTCCGTCCCCCGGAAAGCAACTTTGCACCTTGTGATGCGTTGTTTGCCAATTCCCAGCAAATGTAGCCATGCGACCCGGCACACTGGATGTCCTGCACAGATCTCATATCACTGTTATGCTGCGGATCACTGTAACAGTTAAATAAAACATTGGAAACATGGGTTTCTCAGATTTTAAACAATATGTTTTTGGCCCTAGCGGATCCTTGAATAAACCATTCTTTTCTCTTGTTGCTTCCAGCTTCATGCTGTAGGGACCACAACAAGCTATCTTGTGTAGGCTTTGTCAGCATCCAAAAGGCCACAACAACTTTCAGCAAAGTTCGCAATGGAACTCGACACCGGTTCTTGCATTCACAGCGTGGGTTACGCAAAGCTTCAACCACCCTTTCTTTAGATGATCCCCTTGTGGCAAACTCTGACATCTCAGTATTCTTGGTAGTCATGCTGTTGTGCAAAGACTGAAGCCTTTCGATAGTCAAGTCCACCTTTGCATGACCAGCATCGCTCGTGTCCGAGTCTGTTTCACCATCCGTAGCGCTTGCTGCCGAATCACTGCCATTCCTTGCAGCCGGAGCGTGGCATGTTTACTTATTATGAAGGTTGGTTTGTGATGGGATGGGTTACACCTTGTTATATATTTTGGGTCTGGCTGCAAACCAAATGTATTTTCTGCAACTTAGCATCTCCCCAGAAGAAGACTGTTCGGAGCTTGTGGGGTCATACCGCTGAAGACCATTTCGACCATTGGACTCATCGGATTCCCACCGGCGAAGGACCGGCATTGCACAATATACACGTAATGAGTATACACACAAAAAGAATGGTGCGTTGTTTTGCGTGCATTTTGGAGAAATCATATCCTGGCTGAAACAAACTATTCAATTTATGTTTTTCTTCTTAGACTATGAAGTTGTTAAGAACTTGTTTTTATCTATGTTCCCACCCTCAAAGCCAGAGTCGAATGTTCACAGCTTTTGATTGCAACTATGAGATGTAAAACAGTTTTGCACACGTCCACACACTATCATCAGCATGCAGCACACTGTTTTAATTTCGAATTTGATGCTACCAGATCTCAGACATTTGTCACAGTTCTTCAATCTACCGCAAATTTCTTGGGGTCAACGCAGCCAATCGCAACGCATAGGGCGGCCAATGATGGACGCAAGTGCATAGCATTCCCACCCAGTGAGTGAAGGACCTGAGATTTTGGGGAGCTGCCACATGCAGAAATATGTGTATGTTGGTACCCTTGGGTTGCATGTCATGTGAAATCAATACCAAAAAATTGAACCAAAGGACCATTTCAGAGGTTCGATCCAACCCAGGCATCCGGTGAATGGGAATGCCCATCAAAGCGAGAACTTCCCTCCCAATCATGAAGCGGGACTCGTCCTTGTCGACCTTTGAGAGCACCAAGAATTTTCCATGTGGCCTCAGAAAGTATATTGTAACAATATTTTATAACAAGGACGAGGGTTGCATGTAGATACGCTTCAACATAAACTGCACCATAACAAGGCAGGGGTTTGTAGCTTAGTCTCCCACGTCAAGCAGGGCAAAAGATCATCAGGCGAAGCAACAATAGGCATGCAGTTCAGGCTCTGGGAAACGTTCAGGCAAGCTAAGCTGTCTCCATGTTTGTATGACAAAATGTCAAGGGCATGCATTTCGCGAGCCACTGATATTAATTTGGCAGCCTCAGGCTGGGATTTCGCAAAGTGCTTCTTGCACTTGTTGAGGTTCACCTCCAGCGCAGTAAGCCCAAAACACATAACACCAAAATTGAGACTTTGGCAACTTGGAACTTGAAACTTAAACTTATATCCCAAAAAAACTTGCCTTGTTTTCTGCTGCCCATCGACGGTGCTGCTGCACCCATTTTTTGGCTAAGTTCACAGGCCTTAGGCCCAACAACAAAGGTGGAAGGTTCCAGAAATTGAAAACCAAATGAACACAATTCCCCCTTACCAAAACCAAGAAATAAACACATTCCCCCATTATGAAAACCAAGAAACTTGTTGGCATTCCTTTTGCGGGCCTCAACACGCTGAGCCTTGTCAAAGATGACAGCAGGGTGGGTCTTTGGGAGAAGCAACCGTGGCCTCGGGAGGGCTGTTGGAAAGAAAGTGGGACATCCAGCCCGCATAAAAACAAAACGTTTGAGTTACCCTACTTGTTTGTTCAATATAATTTTGAAAACCTTGTATAAGTCAAGAAACCACGGGGTTCGAACTTCCATATTGAATCCATCAAGCATTGTGGAAAGTCTTTCCTTCAAGGCATCATGGAACTGGTCAGGTGGGAAGGCCAGCACGTCCTCCCGAATCAAATAGATGTACAACCTTCTTCTAGATAAAGGCGCGGCAAAATGCTTCCTCAGGTTTCTCATGGTTTCTTGAAGTGGAATAGTTGTACAAATCATTTGCTTGACATACAATGGGCCAGGGTTTGTAACTTGTAAGTGTTTGAATATCTCAAGACATCAATGCAGATCAGAATCGGGTCCATGATGACACATTCACATACATACCTGGGCCAGAAGATTTACTTGACGGAAGGAAATGCAGCCTAAGAAAAACCAGCTAGGTCTCATCCAACAACAACAACAACAACCACAACCAACAAATCAACAACAAATCAACAACAAATCAACAACAAATCAACAACAAATCAACAACAAATCAACAACAAACCAACAACAAATCAACAACAAATCAACAACAAACCAACAAAAAATCAACAACAAACCAACAACAAACCAACAACAAACCAACAACAAACCAACAACAAACCAACAACAAACCAACAACAAACCAACAATAAGCCAACAACAAGCCAACAACAAGCCAACAACAACAATAAGCCAACAACAAGCCAACAACAACAACAACAACAACAACAACAACAACAACAACAACAACAACAACAATCAACTACAACCAAACAACCAAACAGCCAAACAACCAAACAGCCAAACAGCCAAACAGCCAAACAACCAAACAACCAAACAACCAAACAACCAAACAACCAAACAACCAAACAACCAAACAAACAAACAAACAAGCAAACAAAGAAACAAACAAACAAACAAACAAACAAAAAAACAAACAGACAACATCATCATTATCATCAACATCATCAACAACATCATCAACATCAACATCAACATATATCAACATCATTATCATCGTCACCATCATCATCAACAAACTTCAAGCATTTACCATCTAGCAGAGTGGCCCAGGCAGGTTTTTCCTGATAATTTCCATGACAGGGTGAAGCACTGATTTGAAGCCCAGTACGTTCTCAAGTAGCCCCACCTCAGTCTTTTTCCAACCCTAAGAGAATGGTGGAGGAAAAAATCACACGTGCAAACATGAAGAATGTAAATTTGGCACTTAAAATCCGAGGCTCCATGGGACGTGTTCTCTTCATATTGCGAATTACTGCCCACAATTGTCTAGCATTGGGATCAGACAACATGAGACGCGTAGAGCTCAGTACTGAGTAAGGTTGGCAAGGGAAGCCAGCGGTGTAGACCATGACCTCCACCCACTCGATTCAATCATATTGTTGAAAAAAAATATACCAAAGGGGAAGACAACATCATTGCAATGCAGAGTGTTGAACCAAGAACTGAATTGAAACCTATCCCCCACCTGGCCGGCGAACTCTTCCATAGACTCGCTGATCACATTTTTCCGGCACCTTTGTTAACAAAACGGGTTTGACACCTGTGCCTGTGAGGTTACAGGAAAGGGAGCAAAATAACCTTTCAATCTGCATGTGAGGTTCATGCTGTGAGATTATTCATGGGTTAGGCTAGCAGCTTTCGACAGTGAGGGAAGTTCTCGCGCAGCAGTGCAAACTTGGCCTCGTCTAGTTCTGAAGCCGTCCTCAATGGGCTGGAGGTTAACTAGAAGGGGTATTAAAGTGGTCTAGTCACTTCACACCAATGTACATGACATGGTAATGTGTGTCAACTACATAGTTCTTGAGAATCCGACAGGTGTACCAAAGTTTCTGCTTTGCCAGCAGCTTCCAGTAGCATCAACAAGCCCCACAAAGGTGCATCAGAACCGGAGCCTAGGGTTCATTTCAAGCCCCACAAAGGTTTGTGCTCACAGATTGAATTTCAAGGGTCGTGCTCACATATTATCTCAATGATCCCAATGGGGAACAGGCTTAATGCAGCTGTAGCGCAGTCACTGGCGTATGTCATTTGTTTGCCACGCCATGCAGAAAACCAGCTTCGGAGACCTGTTTGGGAAATGGTTGGGCATTCTTATCTAAGTGGGTGTCATCATGTGTCATCCAAACCATGGACCCCTACCTGATACATCGAGGAATTTCTCACCGATCTCCAGGTAGTCAATCAGAGCTCTGGGAAGGTTATCCTGAACATTTAAGATTCGAATTTGGAAATCTCTGACAAATGGGCTAGGGCAAGTTGTGTTTCCACTCGTGCCAGTCCTGCTCCTCATCTGAAGGATTTGAGCTGGCAACGCTGAAAACTTCGGAATCTGAAAGGGGCTCCATTAATTGAACCCCCCCTGAGCTGCAAACAGCTCTGGGGAACAGGCATGGCTTAGATTTGGAACCCCCCATTCAAAGACCCACTTAGGTTTTGGATAAGACCCAGTTACAACTGGACATGGCTATAAGGAATTGGTTGCTAGATCGGTTGCTACCTGGGTACAATGGTGGGTACGGTGGGTACCGTACCCATGTACCGTACCCACCGTACCCACTATACGTACCCAGTTAGCGACCGATCTAGCAACCGATCTTTTAAGCTAAAAAATATGTGTTTTTATATGTTTTTGTTTGACAAATTATTAATAAACTTCAATGATATCAAAAAATCGCTTGCTAGATCGGCCGCTAACTGGGTACGTATGGTGGGTACGGTGGGTACGGTTCATGGGTACGGATGGGTACGGTACATGGGTACGATGGGTACGGTGGTACGGTAGATGAATACCGTAATTACATGGGTACGGTGGCACGGTACATGGGCACGGTGCATGGGTACGGTACATGGGTACGGTGCCGGCACCCAAACATATACCCAACACCCGTACCCGCACCCAACAACAGTATATCCAAGACCAATTCCCGTAACCGTACCCAACAATACCCAACACCGACACCCGTACCCGTACCCAACTGCCAACACCTGCACCCAACACCCGTATACCCAACACCCGTACCGAACACCCGTACCCGTACCCGTACCTATAGAAATGACCCCCCGTACCCCTACGTAGCAGCCCAATAGAGGGGCATGGTCCTGGTTTTATTGCTTTTGAAATTAAATAAGGTATAATATGGTATAATTAGACATCAAAACAAATTCAGCAAACCAAATGCACCAAAGCTGACCCGGTGAATCAATGGCACCAATACGAACCAACGATATGAAAAAATGTTCAGAGCACTACTTGCAATCAACAAGAGAGGCCTGATGCATTTACACTGCATGTCCTTGAGTGCGCTTTACATCTTCGGGCTGCCAGATTCAATACGACAAATGACAAATGTTTGCTTCGTTCATGTGTGTCTATTTGCATGTGCGCATTTTGGCAAGTCAAATGTGTTCCTTGTCTTGAACTTGAGCCTTTTGGCTGAGAAAATCTCCATTTCAGGGTTCGCACGTAGGAGGACTGTGTGCGCCAAACAAAAGCTAAGCCCAAGTTGGCCAACAAAAAGGCCAGTTCATGGCCATGAGTTCTCAGAATTCCGGACGAACATCCCCGTCGATCTAAGGACGTGTTTGACGTGTTCTGAATCATGGCCCGGGGTTCTTCAAGCAGGTGTCTTTTGCGAGTAAAAATGTTGTGCTGAGCCGCTGAGCTGCACATTCCCATAAAAATGTTTCTGAGCGCTATGGCTGCTCCACGAGACGAAATGTTTAGCCTGATCGAAGTCCTGTTCCTGGATTTTCTCTGAGTTTGGCTGAAGAAAACAGCTCTGTACTGAGCACTGGAGACCTTTTCAACATCTGGCGTGGTAGTGACGACGCGAGTCAGCACACCAGGGTGAAACGGGTGAAAGCTGTGCTGGCAGGGCTGCCACGTTGACGTGCCAGAATCCTTCAGCCATGTCAAGCGATGCGAAACGTCCGAAATGTCAATCTTTCCAAAACTTCCTGAGATTTTTGCGGTGGTTTTGCTGATGGATGAAGTGCGTGCCTACGAGGGTTGGAGTTCACGTCTTCCTGAAACAAACCTGCAGCAGATTGCGGCACGCTTCAACATGAGGAGAAATGTGTAAAAGCCCAATGCAAATGCTGACACCAATGCCCTACACTGACAAATAGATACGAATGCAGAGTCAATGCACCTGACGCGGAACCCATGGTGGCAGCTTCTTAGAGCGGAAAATCGCCGCGCCTGCACAACAAGACTGGTTCGTACCCTCAGCCTCACACATGGAAAGCAGGACTTAGTTCTGACAACAAACACTGTTGTTTTTGGATAATTTTGCGTCCTTTCTGTAGAGTGTGTGTGTGTGTGCGTGTCAATTACCGTCAAATATGTCCATGATGTCAACGGGAGATTCCAGTGTGCTTGAGTGCTCAACCCAGCTGCACCTCCAGCTTCTTGCCACTTCCGGAGAACGAGATTGCAGTACGACTCTTCACCCCAGTACTGCACATACCTGGCTAGCAAGAGTGAACATGAGTGAATAATAGTGAACATACCCCAGTCTTCCAAAAACTTCCAGCATTGAAGATTCTCGTCCTATGTCAGGAAGATCTATGGCAGCTGCGTTGCCTAATCAACATTATCCAAACGGATCCAAATGGGTGCGTGGCGGGGATACTCGCCTCGAAGCACCTGGACAAGGAAAGGCCATCTCAAGCCCGCCAGAGCGCATCTCCTCCAAATTGTGTTCAAACTGGAAGCGCATCACAAGTGCGGCGGCTTTTTAAAAGGCGGCACTAAGTGCAGGAAATTTGAAAGGTTTCCCCGCGCTTGAATGCATCAAGCTTCATCACCCTATATCACCCTGGACACCGTGCATCCGTTTTGATCCATTTTGACCATTTTGCCTGTGACTCTCAAGTTGTCCAAAACATCTACGGCTATCGAACCTCTTCATGCGTTTCCACAACGAGCTCCCAGGCCTGGAAGCTTCACAGTGACTTCGTTCGGTCACAATGGTGGCACTAGTGACATTTCGAAGCTGCGCCAAGACCACCAATGCACAGCACTAAGGCACGACTAAGGCACTAAGGACAAACATCCCCCCCCCTTTAAGGGGGGGGGGGGGGGGGTTGAAAACTGAAATATTTCACTTTCGGGGGGGGTTACCCCCCCCCACACACCTAGAAATATTTCAGCTAAAAATTTCTGGTTTATAATGGTCTCTCCAGGGCCTGGTTGAATTCAAGGCTGAACGTCAAGCTCTGAAACATGTTTGGCAAGTTCACTCTCTTATTTATTTTCTTGGAAACTGGCAGTTACCATTTACATCCATTTACCTAGTTGTGTGGCTTGCGCGTCGGCCCTACCCGCGTAAGGACTAAAAAGGTGATTTTTTTAGGGGGGGACCCTGCTAGAACTGTAAAATACCATGGTTTTGCAACTACCCCCCCTCAAAAATTTCACCCTTGTATTTCGGGGTAGGAAACATAAAGGGGCTCCTCGAGCATTGGCAATGGATTTTTTTAGGGGGGGACCCTGCTAGAACTGTAAAATACCATGGTTTTGCAACTACCCCCCCTCAAAAATTTCACCGTTGCATTTTTCTATGTGTAATTATGTGTATATATATAATATATATATATCTCTATATATGAATGTATGAAAGTATGAATGTATGAATGTATGTATGTACGTTATGAAAGGGTGTGCCATACCATCTCTGGGCTAAAAATGTTGCATCCGGAGGACCCCCCCCCCACATCTTTTCGAAGCCCAAAAAACATGTGGGGGGGGTATATTTCATGTGGTCAGGTGAAATATTTCTCAGAAATTTCTTGCCTTACCCCCCCCCCAAATATTCCAGGGTTAAAGGGGGGGGGATGGACAAACTAAGAAGTGTCAAAGAACCCGTCAGAGCTAGGGCAGCTGGGGCTGGAACAACCTCATCGAAAAGAGCGAGTGCTTCTGCAGGGCCTGGTGCTCCAATTGCTAGGATGCAGTGCTGCAAGCCACAAACAAAGCGGTCAGGCATTGCTGAGTTTGCAACTCTCAGAGGCCTTGAGAGATGAGCTGGCTGTTTGAAACTTGTTTCACAAAATCCCCATGGTTTGGCAGGGTTCATTGTCATTCTGAAAATAAAATTGCTCTTTTGGGGCGTATACCCCCCATCTCAGACACACCCACTATCTTGCTGATTATATGCAATATCCCATTAATTCATCTTTTTCCCCATCAAAATGACTCCGTTGTGACTAGACAAACGCAAGAAGATCATCCAGGAACCCAGCAAGTTTCAGAGCACGTTTCGCCATTCCATCCTCTGAAAGGAGGCAGCCTGAAGCCACCCGCAGCCAGTGCAGGGAAGATGGCTATCCAGGGTCCCATGATATCACTATGATCATTTATCATATTATATGTATGTATATAGAGATGTACATATGTGTGTATATGCCTTTTATACGTATATAATAATATAATATCTATATTATATATATATATTTATATTTATATATTTATATATGCAATCACATACATACACGGTGTACACGCAGCGACTTGCACCTGCAGCTGCCTCATTTTCATCGGGAAAGGCCTGGGTGAAAACGAACATTTCGACAGGCAGTGACGAAATTCCCTTCAAATACTCAGGTAAACACTGCGCCAGAAGCCGGCCAGTGAACGGAGTCTGGACCTCAACAAGACAAGCCAGGTCCATCTGAATATGTGAGAGCATGCTTGACTACAAATAGAGATGTGGCAGGTTTTCTGTGCAAACTCATGGCTCCAAATTGAGGAACTTGCTGAGTTTCCACAGCGCTGTTGGTGGATGAACCTGACTCATTTCCATCTCTCGCAGCGTCTGTCTGCATCTCCAGAGTCTCTGCATGCTATACAAGCATGAATGGGCCGCGAACACCAACGAGGGTGAGAACCTCATCGCAAAACACTCAGGGTTTCTGACAATATCTACATTGCATGTTTCAACCAAATGTTGCCTTGGTGTGCCCTGCTTATCTGCACAAAATAAGCTTCTGACATCTGCAACTAGCTTCGTTTTGATCCGCTTGTCTAGTGGTGAGCCCGAAGACAGCGAGGGGCCTTTTGAAGCATAGGACACACTTCACAAAACGGCACCGGGCACAGGACCTATCATCGGCACATTGCACTTGGCCACTTGGCCATGGCTGTGTAATGTTTGCACCAATTTGAAAAGCCAAGCACTGGACAAATGTTCACTTCCAACAGCCACGGCTTCAGGTTTCTATCGACCTTGTTCCAGAGGACAGAATCCGGCCCCGGAATCCGGCGACATGAGGCACCATTTGGCCGCATGATCGCATGCTGGGGATCCCTGCCAAAATGTCGAAGCCATAAACCTCGAAGCAGCTACCCCTGTGAGCACCTGGCAAAAAGAGTCAAAAAGCAGGCCAATATGCAGTGACTCGCCCGAAATCCATATGGTGTAATGTTATACCACATAATGCAATGTAACACAATGTAGTGCAAGGCTATCCAAGGCTCTGCTATAGTCGATTTGCTTTGGCTATGCTATGGTGTGTGTTGTTTCATGTTTTCTTGTTGTGCTAATTTGTACATCTACAGTTTGTCTACATAGATACTATGCGCGTCACATTGTGTGAGATGCACACATACAAACATGGCTGCATACATTACATTAAATTACATTACATTACATGACATTACAATACATTACAATACATTACAATACATTACAATACATTACAATACATTACAATAAATTACAATACCTAAATACATATACACATACATATGATTACATAAGCATATAAATGTGTGTGTGAGCGTGCATGTATGTATAAAATTAGGTAAATAAATAAATTCATATGTATGTATATAATGTGTTTGTGTACGTATCATTTTACAAAGAGATATATATATATATATTGTATGTATGTATGCATGCATGCATGCATGAATGTATGTATGTATGTGCATATGTACGTATGTATGTATGCATGCATGCATGCATGTATGAATGTATGTATGTATGTGCATATGTGCGTATGTGCATATGTACGTATGTACGTATGTACGTATGTACGTATGTACGTATGTACGTATGTATGTATGTATGTCTGTGTGTGTCTGTATGTATGTATGTAGGTAGGTATGTATGTATGTATGTGTGTGTGTATGTATGTCTGTGTGTGTGTATGTATGTATGTAGGTAGGTAGGTATGTATGTAGGTATGTAGGTATGTAGGTATGTAGGTATGTGTATGTATGTATGTATGTATGCATGCATGTATTCAATGTATGTATGTATTTAGTGTATGTATTTAGTGTATGTATGTCCTTAATGTATGTATGTTATCAATGTTTGTATGTAATTAATGTATGCATGTAATTCATGTATATTAATGTATGTATGTAATTAATGTATGTATGTAATGAATGTATGTATGTAATGAATGTATGTATGTAATTAATGTATGTAATTAATGTATGTATGTAATTTATGTATGTATGTAATTAATGTATATATGCAATTACTGTACGTATGTTATTAATGTATGTATGTTATCAATGTATGTGTGTGATTAATGTATGTAATGTATGTAATGTATGTAATGTATGTAATGTATGTAATGTATGTAATGTATGTAATGTATGTAGTGTATGTAATGTATGTAATGTATGTAATGTATGTAATGTATGTAATGTATGTAATGTATGTAATGTATGTAGTGCATGTAACGTATTGTAACGTATGTAACGTAATGTATTGTAATGTAGGTAATGTATGTAATGTATGTAATGTATGTAATGTATGTGATGTATGTAATGTATGTAATGTATGTAATATATGTAATATATGTAATGTATGCAATGTATGTAATGTATTGCTGTATGCATCTATGCATGCATCCATGCATGCATGGATGAAAGTATGTGTGTACGTACGTACATAGGTACTAGTAGGTAGGCAGGCAGGCAGGTAGGTAGGTCTGTATGTCTGCATGTATGTATAGTGTGCGGACTAGACGTTTGGAATGTATACAATGTGCAGTGCAGTCTAAGATACATGCATCTCGTGGCATACTTCTCTGTTGCACCCGCCTCCTGGGCCGCGAGCTGACCAACCGCCATCCTCAACACCCAGAGTCTTGCACCACTCGCCCTGCCAGGACAGTAGTCTTGGAAGACTTTTGCAAGGCTAAGCTGCATCAAGCTGCAATTTCTTGGCCTTCAAGGGTTCTTCCACAGCGATTAGGGTTTTGATGACCAGGTCCTGAGTTTAGCAGCCGTTTATGCAGACACTGACAAAGACTGACACGATTCGCGGACATGCCATATGAATTCATATGGTACACGCCATATTCTGCCACCGGAGGGCCTTCATCGCTTCCCACAAAGCCTTTGTTTGAGTTGTTTCAGGTGTACAAACGGTCTAGCACACCCAACACTCTTGCCAGTCATGTCATCGTTTCAGAAGCGTTAAGGCGAAGACTCCGAAGTCCAGGCCTTCCCGAGCAAAATGAATCCTAGGCCACCAAATGCCAGGAGAAGAGAGAACATAGAGAGAGAGAGCTTTGTTTGTCAACCTGGAGTCTTTCTCGTTCAAGTTGGCCTCTCAGACTCAGACCGAAGTTCACTGAGAGACCTCTGGATAAAACTAATGACAAAAATTCCAGCCATCATTTGCAGTATAAAGATTCCAGAACTCTTCACAGACCGGCAATGCCAACAGAACATGCTAGAGTGGCTAGAGAACATCTGAGGTCCGAGCCATTTTGAGGCTCTGGGCTGTCCACTTTCATCAACGGCAGCATCTTCCTTGTCCTGCCATGAACGCCATGAAACAGGACAGGGTGCTGCACTTCCACAGCATCTTCGGGTCCAGGGTCCTCCTCTCCTTGCCCGTCCAGGTTCTGAACGAAAGCTGGGTTCCTGAAGCAGCGAAAACAAACTATAAAAAATGAATGAAGGGACGTTCGGATTGTAGGCTACAGACTGCTTGTTCACAGAATAGTTGGTGAGGTGCATCATCCTGCCAAGCACACAACAAGAACAAGTATCTAGTGGGCAGCACAATTTGCTTGCTTCGACGATGCTTCGAGTTACAGTTATCCAGGTCTTCTGTCCTGGATTGCAAAGTCTCGACTGACTCCGAGTACAGCTCGGTTGCAAAACGCACTAGCCCTTCATAATTCACATAGATCTTGAGTGGGTCATACCTGGCAACGCCAAATGGTGGAATCATTTCAATAAGTTCTTGCAGCTGACCTTATCATCCTTCAGGCACAAAACCTGGGCCCCTCACGACAGAACCACCACATAGATGCGCAAATCAAACCTCAATGGCATTCTGAGAAATACGCTGAATTCATACCATTTCACAACCGCGTACCCTCGACAGTACTTTGGTTCTGGCTTGCGGCCGCCGATAAGAAGTGGATTCGGGATGTACCGTTGAACGATGCCACGCCTTGGCCACAACAAAAAAAACAACAAAATCATCAGCACATATCAGAGGAGTCGCAAGATGCCAGTTACTATTCTAATTACTGCCCCCCGTCTTCTGGATAATGATCTTTCTTGGGCTGCTTGTGTTTTTTGCGAAGGCTTGTGGATATGGTGGCAGCACATGGCAAAGTAATGCAAAGTGATGCAAAGATCCCCCATGTATAATCCGCTAGATGCTTTGGAGCCGTGTCTATACAGAATAGCCTGGTATAAACTGGAATGGCCACATTATGGGGGCGTATAAAGTGGAAAACCAACAGATTATAAAGTCACAAACCAACATTGTATAAAGTCGCCTGGCCACGTAAAAACATGAAAGTCAATGTGGATGTTTGATGGTATTTGTGAACAATTCCCATTATTGCGGCCCCCTGGCACTTAGAATTCGTAAATCATGGTGACTATCACTTAGAATTGTGTCTCGGTGATACCTGGGGAGTGCACTTAGAATTGCCCGAAGTGATGTCAAAACAATGCACTTAGAATTAGAAGGCCATGTCATAACCAAACACTTAGAATTGTATCAACTCCTGGTGGTACCCACAAATCATCAATTTTTTCGAGGATTTTCCACTGTAAACCATCCATTTTGGGGCACCCCTCATTTATACATATATTGGTTCCCCTGGCTCAATGCTTCCCCCTGTTGGTGTTTCTGTTGATGGACTGCTGGTGCAGATTCATGTGGAGGCGCCTGCTCTGGCAGGTCTGGATGCTGTTTCTGCAATTCTATGTGCTGCTTGTCTTGTTCCTGTGCATTTAAATTGCAGTTGGTGCCGGTTCCTGCTTTGGGTTTGGTTCGGGCCGTGGGGTATGAGCAGCATCTGCTGTTGCTTCTGCTGTTCTTTCTGCTGTTTTTTCTGTTAAGGGCTGCTGATGCAATTTCATGTGGAGGTGCTTGCTCTGCCATTTGTGGATGCTGCTTCTGCAATTCTATGTGCTGCTTGTCTTGCTCCTGCGCATTTAAGTTGCAGTTGGTGCCGGTTCCTGCTTTGGGTTTCGTTCGGGCCGTGGGGTGCGAGCAGCATCTGCTGTTGCGTCTTGTTTTGCTTCTGCTGCTGTTTCTGCTGGAGGGCTGCTGACGTAATTTCATGTGGAGGCGCCTGCTCTGCCAGTTCTGGCTGCTGCTTCTGCAATTCTATGTGCTGCTTGTCTTGTTCCTGTGCATTCAAATTGCAGTTGGTGCCGGTTCCTGCTTTTGGTTTGGTTCGGTTCTGGAGCATGAGCAGCATCTGCTGTTCCGTCTGCTGCTGTTTCTGCTGCTGTTTCTGTTGAAGGGCTGCTGATGCAATTTCATGTGGAGGTGCCTGCTCTGGCAGGTCTAGCTTCTGTTTCTGCAATTCTATGTGCTGCTTGCCTTGTTACTGCGCATTTAAATTGCAGTTGGTGCCGGTTCCTGCTTTGGGTTCGGTGCGGGCTCTGGGGTATGAGCAGCTTCTGCTGTTGCTTCTGCTGTTCTTTCTGCTGTTTTTTCTGTTAAGGGCTGCTGATGCAATTTCATGTGGAGGTGCTTGCTCTGCCATTTGTGGATGCTGCTTCTGCAATTCTATGTGCTGCTTGTCTTGCTCCTGCGCATTTAAGTTGCAGTTGGTGCCGGTTCCTGCTGTGGGTTTCGTTCGGGCCGTGGGGGGTGAGCAGCATCTGCTGTTGCGTCTTGTTTTGCTTCTGCTGCTGTTTCTGCAGGAGGGCTGCTGACGTAATTTCATGTGGAGGCGCCTGCTCTGCCAGTTCTGGCTGCTGTTTGTGCAATTCTATGTGCTGCTTGTCTTGTTCCTGTGCGTTCAAATTGCAGTTGGTGCCGGTTCCTGCTTTTGGTTTGGTTCGGGCTCTGGAGCATGAGCAGCATCTGCTGTTCCGTCTGCTGCTGTTTCTGCTGCTGTTTCTGTTGAAGGGCTGCTGATGCAATTTCATGTGGAGGTGCTTGCTCTGCCATTTGTGGATGCTGTTTCTGCAATTCTATGTGCTGCTATGTGCTGCTTGTCTTGCTCCTGCGCATTTAAGTTGCAGTTGGTGCCGGTTCCTGCTTTTGGTTTGGTTCGGGATCTGGAGCATGAGCAGCATCTGCTGTTCCGTCTGCTGCTGTTTCTGCTGATGTTTCTGTTGAAGGGCTGCTGATGCACTTTCATGTGGAGGTGCCTGCTCTGGCAGGTCTAGATGCTGTTTCTGCAATTCTATGTGCTGCTTGCCTTGTTCCTGTGCATTTAAATTGCAGTTGGTGCCGGTTCCTGCTTTGGGTTCGGTGCGGGCTCTGGGGTATGAGCATGTATGAGCAGCATCTGCTGTTCCGTCTGCTGCTGTTTCTGCTGATGTTTCTGTTGAAGGGCTGCTGATGCACTTTCATGTGGAGGTGCCTGCTCTGGCAGGTCTAGATGCTGTTTCTGCAATTCTATGTGCTGCTTGCCTTGTTCCTGTGCATTTAAATTGCAGTTGGTGCCGGTCCCTGCTTTGGGTTCGGTGCGGGCTCTTGGGTATGAGCATGTATGAGCAGCATCTGCTGTTGCTTCTGCTGTTCTTTCTGCTGTTTTTTCTGTTAAGGGCTGCTGATGCAATTTCATGTGGAGGTGCTTGCTCTGCCATTTGTGGATGCTGCTTCTGCAATTCTATGTGCTGCTTGTCTTGCTCCTGCGCATTTAAGTTGCAGTTGGTGCCAGTTCCTGCTTTGGGTTTCGTTCGGGCCGTGGGGTGTGAGCAGCATCTGCTGTTGCGTCTTGTTTTGCTTCTGCTGCCGTTTCTGCTGGAGGGCTGCTGATGCACTTTCATGTGGAGGCGCCTGCTCTGGCAGGTCTAGATGCTGTTTCTGCAATTTTATGTGCTGCTTGTCTTGTTCCTGTGCGTTCAAATTGCAGTTGGTGCCGGTTCCTGCTTTGGGTTCGGTGCGGGCTCTGGGGTATGAGCATGTATGAGCAGCATCTGCTGTTGCTTCTGCTGCTGTTTCTGTTTCTGGGCTGCTGATGCACTTTCATGTGGAGGTGCCTGCTCTGGCAGGTCTAGATGCTGTTTCTGCAATTCTATGTGCTGCTTGCCTTGTTCCTGTGCATTTAAACTGCAGTTGGTGCCGGTTCCTGCTTTGGGTTCGGTGCGGGCTCTGGGGTATGAGCATGTATGAGCAGCATCTGCTGTTGCTTCTGCTGTTCTTTCTGCTGTTTTTTCTGTTAAGGGCTGCTGATGCAAGTTCAGGTGGAGGTGCTTGCTCTGCCATTTGTGGATGCTGCTTCTGCAATTCTATGTGCTGCTTGTCTTGCTCCTGCGCATTTAAGTTGCAGTTGGTGCCAGTTCCTGCTGTGGGTTTCGTTCGGGCCGTGGGGTGTGAGCAGCATCTGCTGTTGCGTCTTGTTTTGCTTCTGCTGCCGTTTCTGCTGGAGGGCCTGCTCTGGCAGGTCTAGATGCTGTTTCTGCAATTCTATGTGCTGCTTGCCTTGTTCCTGTGCATTTAAACTGCAGTTGGTGCCGGTTCCTCGTTTGGGTTTGGTTTGGGCCGTGGGGTATGAGCAGCATCTGCTGTTGCTTCTGCTGTTCTTTCTGTTTTTTTCTGTTAAGGGCTGCTGATGCACTTTCATGTGGAGGCGCCTGCTCTGGCAGGTCTAGATGCTGTTTCTGCAATTCTATGTGCTGCTTGTCTTGTTCCTGCGCATTGAAATTGCAGTTGGTGCCGGTTCCTGCTTTGGGTTTTGGTGCGGGTTCTGGGGTATGAGCATGTATGAGCAGCATCTGCTGTTGCTTCTGCTGTTCTTTCTGCTGTTTTCTCTGTTAAGGGCTGCTGATGCAATTTCATGTGGAGGTGCTTGCTCTGCCATTTGTGGATGCTGCTTCTGCAATTCTATGTGCTGCTTGTCTTGCTCCTGCGCATTTAAGTTGCAGTTGGTGCCAGTTCCTGCTTTGGGTTTCGTTCGGGCCGTGGGGTGTGAGCAGCATCTGCTGTTGCGTCTTGTTTTGCTTCTGCTGCCGTTTCTGCTGGAGGGCTGCTGATGCACTTTCATGTGGAGGCGCCTGCTCTGGCAGGTCTAGATGCTGTTTCTGCAATTCTATGTGCTGCTTGTCTTGTTCCTGTGCGTTCAAATTGCAGTTGGTGCCGGTTCCTGCTTTTGGTTTGGTTCGGGCTCTGGAGCATGAGCAGCATCTGCTGTTCCGTCTGCTGCTGTTTCTGCTGCTGTTTCTGTTGAAGGGCTGCTGATGCAATTTCATGTGGAGGTGCTTGCTCTGCCATTTGTGGATGCTGTTTCTGCAAATCTATGTGCTGCTATGTGCTGCTTGTCTTGCTCCTGCGCATTTAAGTTGCAGTTGGTGCCAGTTCCTGCTTTGGGTTTCGTTCGGGCCGTGGGGTGTGAGCAGCATCTGCTGTTGCGTCTTGTTTTGCTTCTGCTCCTGTTTCTGGGCTGCTGATGCACTTTCATGTGGAGGTGCCTGCTCTGGCAGGTCTAGATGCTGCTTCTGCAATTCTATGTGCTGCTTGCCTTGTTCCTGTGCATTTAAACTGCAGTTGGTGCCGGTTCCTGCTTTGGGTTCGGTGCGGGCTCTTGGGTATGAGCATGTATGAGCAGCATCTGCTGTTGCTTCTGCTGTTCTTTCTGCTGTTTTTTCTGTTAAGGGCTGCTGATGCAAGTTCAGGTGGAGTTGCTTGCTCTGCCATTTGTGGATGCTGCTTCTGCAATTCTATGTGCTGCTTGTCTTGCTCCTGCGCATTTAAGTTGCAGTTGGTGCCAGTTCCTGCTGTGGGTTTCGTTCGGGCCGTGGGGTGTGAGCAGCATCTGCTGTTGCGTCTTGTTTTGCTTCTGCTGCCGTTTCTGCTGGAGGGCTGCTGCTGCACTTTCATGTGGAGGCGCCTGCTCTGGCAGGTCTAGATGCTGTTTCTGCAATTCTATGTGCTGCTTGCCTTGTTCCTGTGCATTTAAACTGCAGTTGGTGCCGGTTCCTGCTTTGGGTTTGGTTTGGGCCGTGGGGTATGAGCAGCATCTGCTGTTGCTTCTGCTGTTCTTTCTGTTTTTTCTGTTAAGGGCTGCTGATGCACTTTCATGTGGAGGCGCCTGCTCTGGCAGGTCTAGATGCTGTTTCTGCAATTCTATGTGCTGCTTGTCTTGTTCCTGCGCATTGAAATTGCAGTTGGTGCCGGTTCCTGCTTTGGGTTTTGGTGCGGGTTCTGGTGTATGAGCAGCATCTGCTGTTGCGTCTGCTGTTGCGTCTGCTGTTGCTTCCTTCTGCTCTTCCTTCTGCTGCGGTTTCTGTTGAAGGGCTGCTGATGCAATTTCATGTGGAGGCGCCTGCTCTGCCAGTTGTGGAAAGGGGGGCCGATGGGAAACTAATTCTAACTGCATCACCATTGTATCCGGGTGGCTTTACAACCATTAAAGAAAATATGGGCACATTTTTTCGTACCCTGTCGCTAAGGATCGCCATGCCATTCATGCAAGGCTGCGATCTCTTAAACCCCACAAGATGCAGCGTCAATACTGTGGTATATATGGATGTTTGGATGGATCTGCTCGTTTTTTCAAAACAATATTCGACACACTGTGAAATATTGTGTTTGGTATTCAAAACATTTCAAAGCATTTCTTATCCATCATACATCGCCCATCAAATTTATGTATATACATTGTGTAGAAACAAGTTAGTAGCCACTTAGTGCCACAAAATAACCCTGGGCAAAGCACACTGTTTCTTGAGCCATACGCCGACCATACTATGGGTGAAACAGGTGATACTTGGACTACTATTGTGCAACAACACCCCCCGTGCAGTGAAGCTAATCTACAAGAGGGTGAAGCTGCAAATTATGGCTATGCACAGTACAGTAAGGGATGCCTTAAACAACAAATACAAAGGTTACAACCAAAACCCCACAGGTACAGCCTTTCTTCTGTAGTCTTCGTATATTCACCTCAGGTCGGCAAGAGTTCGGCAACAAGACATGACAAAGATATCCATCAAATCTGACACCAAGTATACTGTTCAACGGATGCTGTCAAGATCAATTCGGTTGAATGCATTCAGCTTTATTTTAGGCTCGACTGGGCTTGTGGTCGAACATGCAAGGTGGAAAAAGGTCTTGGCCCGTTACATAGGCCTGCGTTTCCACGCGGCAACAAAAGTTCTTGTGGTCGCCCAGGAGCTTGCCAAAGCAAAGCGATTTAATTATGGCAAAAAGCTGAATTCAGTTTTGGTGTGAACCCGCAGGGAAGCCCTTTAGAAATGCTTCAAAGCTGCCTTAACTTCGCAAGGCAAGAGCTTCCGCTCTGCGGTACATGCAACTACCAGCCGTGTGCTCAGCAAGAAGGAATCATGGCAAGAATGAAATGAGTGCCAAATGCCTGCTTCAAATTATATGCATTCAAAGCGTTAATGGGAATGTTATGAACTTGAAATAAGTTGGCAAAAATTCCGACTTAGCACACTTGAGTTTTGATGATGGTGGAATCACGCACCCACCCGTGCATTGAAGCTAATCACCTACCCGAATTAAATCAAAGTAGGCAACAGCTTCCGCTGTGCGACACTTCACATAGAGAAAAACTATCCCGCCTCAGTTGAAAAAGGAATTCACCAGGCGAGAGGTTCCCCTCCGCGGTGTCTCAGCGATAGCCCGACCAACGTCGATCCCTGTATTGGTGGCCTTGGTTTCGACGGCGCCAATCTTCCCATTCCTGGTCAGTCCACTGGTTGTAGAAATCGTTCCACTCCTGTTGACTGTAGCCATGAGTGGGCCCCTGATGTGATCCATACCCAGGACGCGAAGACCTGGTGACATCTGGATTTTGCTGCTTGGTAGCAGGCAGGGGTCGGCTTCCGCCTTCCGTGTCCTTTGCCTCCGTGAGGGGGCGCAAGATCTCGTCGACATAGCTGAGAATGTCGGCATATACATCCTGCTTGGACAACGCAAGGGATTGGAACGTCGTGTTGGCGACGCTCAAGACCTCGAATCTGTCGGTCACGGGGATCAAGGCATAGGCGGCAGCGAACTGGTTGGCTCTGTAAAAGCGGTTCTTGTACCAGATGAGAACATGATCGTCAACGACGATCGTCTGCATCTGCCCCTCTTCGTATGCGACCAGGCACATACGAGCTTTATACTGCCGAATCTTTCCAGTTCGGATCTCCTCCCGCGTGCGCTTGATGCTCGGGAGCACGACGTTGCCGAGGACGGTAATCCAATGCATACACCTCGGCGTCAGGTCTTGGACCGCACAATTGAAGGCGTAGTGGGCGTCCGTTCCCAGACGCTGGAGCAATGTCATCCCCGCTTTTCGTGCCTGCTTCATGTATGAGCGGGCATGATTTTTGAGGACTGCAGCAGCAGATCTGATCTGCTTGGCACCTTGTGTGGTGCCTGCTACATCGTCATCGCCCAGCAAGTCCAGGGTGAGTTCAAAACCAAGTTTCTCGGCGAGCTCCTCAAGTCGAAAGACCTGGCATGCACGACGCATGTCGGACATAGTCGCCAAGGACAAGCCGCATGCAAGGCAAACCAACATCCCCTCAGGAAAAATCTTCCTGCACCGGGGGCATGTCAATTCTGGCATAGCCAGCATAGATACATACCGCCAGCGCGTGAGGTTCCCCTCCGCGGATGGGTCAAAGGCCTCCTGATCGAAGCGATCAGAACGGCGTTCCCGCACGTTGTCAGGGGCGATGTCGAAGCCAGCAGCCGTCACAGTTGGTTTTCGCGCCACACAGAGAAGGTTGGTGAAGTTGAGCGGTCGCTGCCTGGACTTTGGCAGCAATTCGTCGACGACAGGGTAAGGTGTCTGGACTTCTTTGTAAATGAGTGGACGGCGCAAGGTGACCACGTCCTTCCACTGATCATATTCATTCACAAAAAGCATTTTCAATGCTTCCAAGTCCGAGCATTCATACCTCTCAAGCTCTTCGTACGCGGGAGTGCCCTTCCGAGCCTCGTTCTCTTCCCAAACGAGGGCATTCTCGGTGGCCTTCTGCCGAAGGTACTTCTTGACCCTGTTGTAGCCGTGGTTGGCCCAAAGGTACTGCGACTTCTCGCAATCGAATGCGTAGATGAGGCAATGGTTGGGGACCCAGTCCTCGCAGATGAGTGCACCGGCCACGGTTTCCACCAGGCGAAGACCATAGTGCAAAGCGCAATCGGTGTCAATTGCAATGCACAGCGGTCGATTCGTCCTGACACCAGGATCCTTGCCTTCAATTTCCCAAGGCGCGTGGCGGGTCATGTACACGTGACCCTTGCAAGACGTAGCCCCGGGAAAAATTCCCGTGCAAATGATCTGCTGAAGGGCGTTCCATGAAGTGTAATGGTAAATTACACGGAACTCTTCTGCGACCTCGGCTTCCGCCAGGTGGTGATAAATGGGAACCCTTGGGTAGAGTCCCCTCTTCAAATCGTCCACCGTGAATTGGTATAGTCAAGCGAGATGATCTGCTTGACCAACGGAGCCGTCCCCACCTTGTCGATGAGGGATTGGTCGTGACCTTGGCAGGCCTTCACGTGCGTGATGCGGTACGGCATGTCCAAAGTTGTCAGTTCCCCGACAATTCCAGCTTCAATGCGACACATGAACCTGTCCTGTGTCCTGAGGATCAAGTAGAGATCCTGCTTTGAGAGCTGGGCCCTGTACCTCTTCCCCAAGTAGCTGTACATGCTCTCGAAGTTGAGGTAGAGCTCGTCGTCGAATTCCGGTGGAATGTGACGATGGTGGGGTTCCAAAAACTTGTGGTCGTAGCCGCGCAACAACCCAGTGACCCGCTTGGAGGACTTGAAGTCGTCGTAGCTAAGATGTCCAAGATCTCGAAGGCCAGGCAGGTCTGTGCACCTGATGGTGAACTCCCTGCGCTCGCCCGTTCCCGGAGAGAAAAAGTACCACTTGGGATATCCCGATGGTCGCAAAGGCGGTTCAGCCGGAGGCTGAGGTCCACCCGTTCCCGGGGGAGGAGCACTTGCCATAGGCGGATCCTTCTTGGCAATTTTCGGAGCTGGCTCCACCGAAGGCAATGCGGCTGGTGCAGATGACTTCTGTGGAGGCGCCCTTGGTGAGGTAGTTGTCAACGTCGGTGGTGGTGCCTTGAAAGGCAATGCTTTGGGCATAGGTTGGTCCGCAGCTTCCGCTGGGAGTGCAGGTGGCTCCGGCTTGGGGGATCCAATTGCACTCTTCGGAGTGGGCGGCGGACTTGGCTTGGGGGACGCCATGGGAGACGTTCCCGTCGCCGTTGAAAGCTTGGGGAGCTGAGGAGCTCGTTTGTACGAGGCCATGGTGCCTTGATCTTTCATCTTCGGCTTGATGAACTGGCCGACTGCATCTCCGATCACCTGTGCGATGCCGCTCGATGACGATGCCGCTTCCGATTTGGGAGCCGCCTTCGATTTGGCTTTCGACACAATTTCCAGAGAGGCAGCGGGGTCACCCGCGCGAAGTTTCTCCTCGGCGGACTTGGGCTCCTCAAAGATTTCCCGTTCCATCTGACGATGCTTCTCCTCATCCGTCAAGTCAAAGCCACGAATGATGATTGCACCATCCTCCGTCTGCTGCATGGACTCCTGCCGAAGTTCGAACTTGGCAGGATCACGTGTGACGTCGGTGTCCAAGATGTTCACTACGCCAGAGCCATCCAACTTGAAGTCCACAGCGTGGATCTTGTTCATCAGATGGGAGCGCAGCTTCCGCTGGCTAAACAACGACGCCGAGCCGCCGACAATGGGATCCTTAAAGACAATCTCCTCGTCAGCATCCGGCTCGTCGATGTCGCGCTCGTCGGACACACCTGGCAACCGATCCAAAAAGGGCTTGAGGATGGCGTCAATGAGCTCGCCATCCATCTCCGGCTCTTTGACCTCATGTCAAAGTGCTCGGGTTCCCCCGGCAGTGCAACATCCACGGACTCCAAAAGTTGCCAGTTCGATGAGACTGCAGCCGCATCATCCTGCACCACAGGAGCCTGCTGTAGCTGTGCACGTTCAGGATCGACTTCATTGGTGCATGGGAAGCCGTTGCCCTTTGGGTCGAGTCTCCTTCACAAAGATTTCCCAACCGTCCACGTCCATGGAGACCATCACCTCCTCCATTTCTTCCCACTCCCGGTTGTTTTCCGGAAGCGGGTTGGCCAGCGATTCCTCGCGGCGCTTTTTCATCTCTGCCATTTCGATCAATGGCTTGCACGACCGAAGTCGAAAGAGATGATATCCCAAAGCGCCGGCCTCAGAGTAGAATCGAATGCACTGGAGGCGGTTGTGCTCGGAGTTTTCCATGTGTTGGCCGTCGTATCGCGTCGTGCATTTGATCAACGACGTGGCATCGAGCACACAAAGCCCACGCTTCCTGAGTGCCTCAGCCGCGCGGATCATCTGGCGGTCAAAGTCAGGATGAAGTCCATAACCTCGACCATACCATGGCATCACGAGGACGATGTTCCCAACGTCGGCACGGGTCGTCAGCTTCACGAGGTCGTTCAAGGCGGAAAAATGGGTATTGACCCTTTCCTCCATGAGATCGTTTGCTGCGTCCCGGCGCTTCTGTGAGTAACACGCCATCTAAGATTTTTTCTTCCTAACCGGGGTTGGGAAACACAACCGGGATTGCAGAGGATGGTTTGTTAAGTTTCAGGCCAGTCATGGCTTACATGTCAACTGACCCGGGATTGCAGAGGCAGTCATAAATGCTGCCCAACGTCAATCATAGATTGCACTTCAACTCTCAAGTCTGGCAAATCCCCCGGAAAATTGCTTTTTCCTGAGTTTTCCAAAGGAAACTTGACACTTGGTGGGGTCCGTTTTCCGGGGCGAACCCAAGTGGAAAATTGGCACTCAAGTCAATCAACTCAATACTCAATGTCAAGTTGCTTTTTCTTGCTAAGCGGGGTTGCGAAAAGCAACCAGGGTTGCAAGATTCTTTGGTAGAAACAGCTTTGCCCAGTCGGCGAACGCAGGGCTAAACGATTAATGTTGGATACTGATTAGTGTGGGGATACACTATTGTGTCCACAGACCTCAAAATTATTCTGTAACTCTGGAAATGTTCGAGGGGTACACTATTGTGTCCACAGGATTTTGGTGTAAGTTTTTTTTCATGTTTTTCATTTTTTAGTTTTTAATTGTTTTTTATTTTATTTTAAAATTTTAAAATATTTTTTATTTTTATTTTTATTATAATAATTTTTAATTTAATTATTTAAAATATTTTTTATTTTTATTTTTAATTATAATAATTTTTAATTTAATTATTTTTTAATTTTATTTTAAATCATTTTTTATTTTTAGTTATAATATTTTTTATAAATTATTTATTTATTTATATTTTTAATTAATTAATTATAATAATTTTTAATTTGGTTATTTTTTATTTTATTTTAAAGTTTTTTTTATTTTTATTATTAATTATAATATGTTTTAATTTAATTATTTTTATTTTTAATTATATATTTTTATTATTTTGTAAAATTGTGTCAGGATACACAATTGTGTCATTGTGTCAGGATACACAATTGTGTCTTGGTCTTTTTTTGTTGTTCAAACAGTTTTCATGTTTTTCATTTTTTAAAGCTTTTTCCTTTTACTTTTTATTTTCCAGCATTGAAATTTTCCAGATGCCATCCACAGAAAATTACATCCAGGTACAAAATAGTGTGGTTTGTTTGGGGGTACACTATTGTGTCCAGCTGCTTCCTGAGGTCATGATTTTTGATTTTTTCAATCATGTCCTTTACCTTTTCCTTTGCTAGCTAAAGTGTTTTCCTTTCAATTAATTTCTTTCTTAGTTTCTTTCATTTGAAATTCTCAGAAATGACCAGTTTCCCAAAATATATGATGCCTTATTAGAACCCAATTAAAAAACATGACTCAAACAATTTTTCAAGGTGGTAGTCCATGAGCAACCCTGATACAGAATAGTGTGGTTTGTTTGGAGGGTACACTATTGTGTCCAGCTGCTTCCTGAGGTCATGATTTTTTTTGATTTTTTCAATCATGTCCTTTACCTTTTCCTTTGCTAGCTGAAGTGTTTTCCTTTCAATTAATTTCTTTCTTAGTTTCTTTCATTTGAAATTCTCAGAAATGACCAGTTTCCCAAAATATATGATGCCTTATTAAAACCCAATTAAAAAACATGACTCAAACAATTTTTCAAGGGAGTAGTCCATGAGCAACCCTGATACAGAATAGCGTGGCTTGTTTGGAGGGTACACTATTGTGTCCAGCTGCTTTCCTGAGGTCATGTTTTTTTTTGATTTTTTCAATCATTTCCTTTACCTTTTCCTTTGCTAGCTAAAGTGTTTTCCTTTCAATTAATTTCTTTCTTAGTGTCTTTCATTTGAAATTCTCAGAATGACCAGTTTCCCAAAATATATGATGCCTTATTAAAACCCAATTAAAAACCATCACTCAAACAATTTTTCAAGGGTGTAGTCCATGAGCAACCCTGATACACAATAGTGTGGTTTGTTTGGGGGTACACTATTGTGTCCAGCTGCTTCCTGAGGTTATGTTTTTTTGATTTTTTCAATCATTTCCTTTACCTTTTCTTTTGCTAGCTAAAGCGTTTTCCTTTCAATTAATTCCTTTCTTAGTTTCTTTCATTTGAAATTCTCAGAATGACCAGTTTCCCAAAATATATGATGCCTTATTAAAACCCAATTAAAAAACATCACTCAAACAATTTTTCAAGGGTGTAGTCCATGAGCAACCCTGATACACAATAGTGTGGTTTGTTTGGAGGGTACACTATTGTGTCCAGCTGCTTTCCTGAGGTCATGTTTTTTTTGATTTTTTCAATCATTTCCTTTACCTTTTCTTTTGCTAGCTTAAGGGGTTTTCTTTCAATTAATTCCTTTCTTAGTTTCTTTCATTTGAAATTCTCAGAAATGACCAGTTTCCCAAAATATATGATGCCTTATTAAAACCCAATTAAAAAACATCACTCAAACAATTTTCAAGGGGGTAGTCCATGAGCAACCCTGATACAGAATAGTGTGGTTTGTTTGGAGGGTACACTATTGTGTCCAGCTGCTTTCCTGAGGTCATGATTTTTTGATTTTTTTTCAATCATTTCCTTTACCTTTTCTTTTGCTAGCTAAAGTGTTTTCCTTTCAATTAATTTCTTTCTTAGTTTCTTTCATTTGAAATTCTCAGAAATGACCAGTTTCCCAAAATATATGATGCCTTATTAAAACCCAATTAAAAACCATCACTCAAACAATTTTTCAAGGGAGTAGTCCATGAGCAACCCTGATACACAATAGTGTGGTTTGTTTGGGGGTACACTATTGTGTCCAGCTGCTTCCTGAAGAGATTTTCTAGCACTGACTCAATTATATCAGAATGAAAGTGAAAGCCACTGAGTTTTTATCAGTGCAAAGCTGCAAATCACTCACTCTCAGTAGAGCTTCAGGCAGGAGCAGCTGATGTTGCTGAGGTAGATGCAGCTGAGCTCGAGGAAATAGGTTCTAAAGATGAGCTTGCTGAGATAGCTAGGGTGGCTGACTTGAGCAGTTGCTGAAGATCCTCAGGCCCTGTGCTGAGAAAGGGCAACTTCTTGGCCTTGGCAGCCTCTGAGTGCAGGTGGTACCTGAGGCATTTGTAGGCATCACAGCTCAGGCAGCCTGATTGCCATCTGCACTTAGAACATTTTCCCAAGGCATGCTCCAGGAGCCTGACCTTGTGAACTGATTCCTCAGAGAGGTTTTTCCAGGTGAACCTCACTGAGTTCTTGTCCAGCTGCTGCTGAGCAGTAATGTAGGCAACTGAGGTGATGTCCTTGAGCTTAGAAAGCTTTGCCTTAGCTTTTTCTTGTTGCTCAGCAATCTTAGCCCTCTCAAGTAGAAATTTATCCCATCTGATCTTGGCAGCATCAGTGATAAGTTTTTGCTCAGGAATGACCTTGTTGCAAGCAATCTCCAACCTCTGCTTCCAATTCTTCCACCCTGTCTCAGGCCAAACTGAGAGCCACTCTCCTCTGAAAAGCCTGATTTCTTCCCCCATGTAGTGAAGCACATAGCAGCCACAGGCATTGCTGCCCACAGGCTGCTTGGCAGAGTTGCTGAGTGGTGGAAGGATGAACTGAGGGTCAAGCAAGTTCCCCATGAGGATCTGCTGAGGATGAGATTCTTCATGCTCTTTGCTGAGGGAGTCATACCTCCTCCAAGTGATGGGTTGCCCAGTGCCTTCCCTCTGAGCTACCAGCAAATGGTGTCCATGAAAAAAATGACAACTATATCAGTTAATTAATGCTCATTGTCCTATGCTAAAACACACAAACACACACCAACAAGAAACAATCATCCATTTGTTCAACCCAGGCACAGAGCATTCTCTACATCCTGATTGCCAGGGAATTCTGCTGAGGAAGACTTGGTGGCCATTGCCACAGTCAACCTTAGGCTCCCTAAGGTATCTAGGATACCCCACAATGTTTTCTGAGTCCAAGTTGTTGAAGAGTGCTAAGCATGAGGGTTCCTGAGGTGGATCATTGGACTGAAGCTGGTAGCGCCCTTGGCCACCCCTCTGAGTCCACAAAACTCCATCTGGCACCTCAGCAGGCTTCTCTTCAAACATAGGATGAGGTTTGCCTGAGCCTCTCCCAGGATAGTCAAAGAAAGACATGGCTGAGATGATATGGAGCAAAGGTTGAGTAGTCCTGGCCCTTAGATTTGAGCCTTAAAAAGCTGAGGAATCACATAGACATGCACAAATATGAACATGCTACAACTTCATTGGTTAATTAATTAGCTAATTACTCAATTATAAGAAACTTAAACATGCATAAGCATGCTAACTAATTAATTAATTAATTGATTAATTAATTAATTAATCAAAATTGCCAAAAGTCTAAGATTATGTCCAAGCTGAGCACTAATCCCACACCACCAGAAACACCCTTCAGTCCCCTAGGGCTCTTCAGTCTTGGCCTTCTTGGACTTGGGCTCAGCATCTGAGGATGGATCTGATGCTGAATCATCACTGCTCATAGGCTGAGAGTCTAAGACCTGAGAATCATCAACCAGCTCCTGGGACCCAAAGGGTGTATCTGATGGTGCTTCATCATCACTCCCCATAGGCTGAGAGTCTAAGACCTGAGAGTCCTTAGCCACCTCCATCACCTCATGGTCAGGCTGTGCATTCAACTCCTTTTCCATACCCTGAAACTTGCTGAGGGTAGCATCAAATGTATCAGACTTAGCAGGTTGGGCAGGCTGGGCAGGCTGAGGAAGAGGGATACACTCTGATGGCCAACCATCCTGAGCATCCTGAAGAGCTGTCTTGAGAATCCTAATCCATTGCCCCTGAGTGATCTTTGGGTAACCCTTGAAGTCTTTGAAGATCTGACTGAGTTCATTCCTGAAACTGAGCATCACCCAATCAGGCACAGCATCAGGATCCTCAAGCTGAACCAACTGCTGAGTGTAGTACTTCTGCAGCATGTCCACAAACTGTTCCTGAGAGCACCTGAGCTTCACCTTGATGTCAGCCATCTCAGCTGTCAGAGCCACCACCTTCATGGAGTTGCTTAAAGAGCCACCCAAAAATAAAACTCATTGACTAATTCATTAATGGATTTCCCATTGGGAAACAAAAAAACAAATCCAAGCCTTAGGACTCAAAGAGAATTTCTCCAGAGTCAGGATATTCCTGAGGTTGGAAAACCATTCCACAAGATGATAATTGTAGTCCTTCCTGAGCTTGTCCATCTCAGTGTTGAATTGCTCCATGGCTGAGCTGATGGGATGCAAAGAAGCTGACTAGAATGGGCTTGAGCCTTCACAAGCAAAGAAATAAATCCCCCATGTGAGATGAAAATGGATTGAAATCAAATGAAAAGCAATTCCTTTGTTAATTAATAAATTAAGTTGAAAAAATTCAAAGTAAAGTGAAAATCAATTGAAAAACACTTTAATTAAACAAATTGAAAATCAATCGAAATTAATTTGAAATCATTTGAAATCAATTGAACATCAGTTGAAAATGAATTGAAATCAATTGCAATCAAAACCAAAGGCTTTCCAAAGGATGAGTTTCAGCCAAGCAAAAAAAATATGAATGACCATGATACACAATAGTATGGTTTGTTTGAGGGTACACTATTGTGTCCAGCTGCTTCCTGAGGTTATGGTTTTTTTTCAAGCATTTCCTTTCCCTTTTCATTTACTGAAGTTTGTTTCCTTTTACTTAGCTTCATCCTTCTTGGAATCAAAACCAAAGGCTTTCCAAAGGATCAGTTTTAGCCAAGCAAAAAAAAAAACATGAATGATCCTGATACACAATAGTATGGTTTGTTTGAGGGTACACTATTGTGTCCAGCTGCTTCCTGAGGTGATGTTGTTTTTTAACATTCCCTTTGCATTTTCCTTTGCTAAAGCTTTTTTTTATTTTTTCAATTAGTTTCTTTTATTTAGAATTCTCAGAAATGCACAATTTCCCAAAATATATGATGCCTTATTAAAACCCAATTAAAAAACATGACTCAAACAATTTTTCAAGGGGGTAGTCCATGAGCAACCCTGATACACAATAGTGTGGTTTGTTTGGGGGTACACTATTGTGTCCAGCTGCTTCCTGAGGTGATTGTTTTTTTTTCAACAATTTCCTTTTCTTTTTCCTTTGCTAACGTTTGTTTCCTTTTACTTAGCTTTATTTTTCTTGGAATCAAAACCAAAGGCTTTCCAAAGGATTAGTTTCAGCCAAGCAAAAAAAAACATGAATGATCATGATACACAATAGTATGGTTTGTTTGAGGGTACACTATTGTGTCCAGCTGCTTCCTGAGGTGATTTTGTTTTTTAACATTTCCTTTGCATTTTCCTTTGCTAAAGTTTTTTTATTTTCTCAATTAATTAGTTTCTTTTATTTAGAATTCTCAGAAATGCACAATTTCCCAAAATATATGATGCCTTATTAAAACCCAATTAAAAAACATGACCCAAACAATTTTTCAAGGGGGTAGTCCATGAGCAACCCTGATACACAATAGTGTGGTTTGTTTGGGGGTACACTATTGTGTCCAGCTGCTTCCTGAGGTGATTGTTTTTTTTCAACCATTTCCTTTTCTTTTTCCTTTGCTAAAGTTTGTTTCCTTTTACTTAGCTTCATTTTTCTTGGATTCAAAACCAAAGGCTTTCCAAAGGATTAGTTTCAGCCAAGCAAAAAAAAACATAAATGATCATGATACACAATAGTATGGTTTGTTTGAGGGTACACTATTGTGTCCAGCTGCTTCCTGAGGTGATTTTGTTTTTTTACATTCCCTTTACATTTTCCTTTGCTAAAGTTTTTTTATTTTCTCAATTAGTTTCTTTTATTTAGAATTCTCAGAAATGCACAATTTCCCAAAATATATGATGCCTTATTAAAACCCAATTAAAAAACATGACTCAAACAATTTTTCAAGGGGGTAGTCCATGAGCAACCCTGATACACAATAGTGTGGTTTGTTTGGGGGTACACTATTGTGTCCAGCTGCTTCCTGAGGTGATTGTTTTTCTTTTCAACCATTTCCTTTTCTTTTTCCTTTGCTAAAGTTTGTTTCCTTTTACTTAGCTTCATTCTTCTTGGATTCAAAACCAAAGGCTTTCCAAAGGATCAGTTTTAGCCAAGCAAAAAAAACATGAATGATCCTGATACACAATAGTATGGTTTGTTTGAGGGTACACTATTGTGTCCAGCTGCTTCCTGAGGTGGTTTTGTTTTTTTAACATTGAAATCAATTGCAAGTAAATTGAAATCAATTGCAAGTAAATTGAAATCAATTGAAAGTAAATTGAAATCAATTGAAAGTAAATTGAAAGCAATTGAAAGTAATTTGAAATCAATTCAAAATAAATTCAAATCAATTGAAAATAAATTCAAATCAATTGAAAGTAATTAATTAAATTGAAATCAATTCAAAATAAATTGAAATCAATTGAAAGTAAATTGAAGTCAGTTGAAAGTAAATTGAAATCAATTCAAAATAAATTGAAATCAATTGAAAGTAAATTGAAATCAATTCAAAATATATTGAAATCAATTGAAAGTAAATTGAAATCAATTGAAAGTAAACTGAAATCAATTCAAAATAAATTGAAATCAATTGAAAGTAAATTGAAATCAATTCAACATAAATTGAAATCAATTGAAAGTAAATTGAAATCAATTCAAAATAAATTGAAATCAATTGAAAGTAAATTGAAGTCAGTTGAAAGTAAATTGAAATCAATTCAAAATAAATTGAAATCAATTGAAAGTAAATTGAAATCAATTCAAAATATATTGAAATCAATTGAAAGTAAATTGAAATCAATTGAAAGTAAATTGAAATCAATTGAAAGTAAATTGAAATCAATTGAAAGTAAATTGAAATCAATTGAAAGTAATTTGAAATCAATTCAAAATAAATTGAAACCAACTGAAAGTAAATTGAAATCAATTCAAAATAAATTGAAATCAATTGAAAGTAAATTGAAATCAATTGAAAGTAAATTGAAATCAATTGAAAGTAAATTGAAATCAATTCAAAATAAATTGAAATCAATTGAAAGTAAATTGAAATCAATTCAAAATAAATTGAAATCAATTGAAAGTAAATTGAAATCAATTGAAAGTAAATTGAAATCAATTTAAATCTATCAATTTTTTTTGATTTTACACTATTCTGTACCCGGTAATTTGTTTTTTCCACACTATTCTGTAACCCAAATTTGTTTAGGGGGCGGGGGGCCTCCCCACACTAATCAGTAACCTACATTACTCAAACTCATTTGTGGTGATTTAGCTTCACTGCTTCCTGGGCTTTGCCCTTTTCACCGGCTTCCTGCCTCCCCAAGTTTGCCATTTACCTAGGCCTTGCCTCCAAGCTCTGCATGGGTACACGCGCAACCGATGTCCATCTTCGCGTTTGGCTTGCTGTGGTCTTGTGCTTGGGATCGGGCGCCACGTTCTGGCTCCAAAGGGTTGTAGTTGCATCTTCTCCTGCAGCAACGCGGCGCAGCGAGCAGCGAGCAGGGCACAACACTGTGAGGCGCGTATTGCAGGCCCAGGGTTGGCTTGCGAGCGCCGGAAAAAAACAAAGGTAGTCAAACCTGCTGCTTTAACGCAGCTCTTTGCCGAAGGTGGTGGTTGCGCGTTGCTGCAAAAATGATTGTTTAAGGGCACCACGCCCGGCGGTCGAATTTAACACAGCACCACGTGACACGTGTCAAGGCCAGATCCAATATATGAAGTTCTTCCAGCGCCTCTGGAAAGCCATTTTTTCAACAACGCAGGATAAGAGAAGCTTGCCGCAAAATTTTGCTTCTGTCACAGGTGGGATTTTGCTTAATTTCCACAGCGGGCCCGGCTGGGCCATATTGCGAACACGGTTCAGTCACCCTGCAAGTTGGCGTCAGATTTGTGCCGCGACACTGCTGCAGCGTCATTGACAAAAACAAGATCAATGGGAGATTTTAGCGCCGGCTTCCTTTCAATTACGAATGGAAGGAAATTGTTATACTTTTCCTATTCTTTTGTGAATCTCACACCAAGCGGGCGCACGGCGCCATATCGATCCAGATTTTGTTTCCACGACGTGGGGGCCATGCTGCCGGAAAAAGACATGTGTTTCCGATCCTGGTGGGGCCCAAGAAAACATATACGAGTGAAGGTAATTCAGATTTTGCGTCAGGCTTCACACGATCAGAAAGGTTTTGCAGGGGTAGCTTTCAAGCCCTGCTGGGCCCTATCCGTCTTTTTGTTTGGCGAGATATGAAAATGTTTTCGGCTTTTTTTGGTGTCAGATTTCAACGACAAGGGCGGATTTCGTGTCAGATCGTATCGATATGGCGCCGTGCGCCCGCTTGGTGTGAGATTCACAAAAGAATAGGAAAAGTATAACAATTTCCTTCCATTCGTAATTGAAAGGAAGCCGGCGCTAAAATCTCCCATTGATCTTGTTTTTGTCAATGACGCAGCAGCAGTGTCGCGGCACAAATCTGACGCCGACTTGCAGGGTGACTGAACCGTGTTCGCAATATGGCCCAGCCGGGCCCGCTGTGGAAATTAAGCAAAATCCCACCCTGTGACAGAAGCAAAATTTTGCGGCAAGCTTCTCTTATCCTGCGTTGTTGAAAAAATTGCTTTCCAGAGGCGCTGGAAGAACTTCATATATTGGATCTGGCCTTGACACGTGTCACGTGGTGCTGTGTTAAGTTCGACCGCCGGGCGTGGTGCCCTTAAGCAATCATTTTTGCAGCAACGCGCAACCACCACCTTCGGCAAAGAGTTGCGTTAAAGCAGCAGGTTTGACTACCTGTTTTTTTCGGCGCCCGCAAGCCAACGCGCCGCACAGTGTTGTGCCCTGCTCGCTGCTCGCTGCGCTGCGTTGCTGCAGGAGAAGATGCAACTACAACCCTTTGGAGCCAGAACGCGGCGCCCGATCCCAAGCACAAGACCACAGCAAGCCAAACGCGAAGATGGACATCGATTGCGCGTGTACCCATGCAGAGCTTGGAGGCAAGGCCTATAGGTAAAGGCAAACTTGGGGAGGCAGGAAGCCAGTGAAAAGGGCAAAGCCCAGGAAGCAGTGAAGCTAAATCACCACAAATGAGTTTGAGTAATCGTTTAGCCCTGCGTTCGCCGACTGGGCAAAGCTGTTTCTACCAAAGAATCTTGCAACCCTGGTTGCTTTTCGCAACCCCGCTTAGCGAGAAAAAGCGGGTTGAGTGACTGCCTGGTATTCAGCATGCCAGGCTGGGGCATGGGGTCATGTTTGGAACCATTCCCGCCCACCCATGAGCTGTTAGTAGCAATTATCACGCATGCCCATCTTAGCTCTGAGATGCCTTGGTGCTTGACGCATGATGGTAGGGGAGCAATGCATTGCATGCTGGTCATCAAATTTTTGTCTTGTACCGCCCACCCATGAGTTTGTAGCTGCCTTTAAGGTGCAAGCGTGTGTGAGGCCACCGGTCAATTCAATTCATGTCCATCCGCTATCTAACTGCAGGTCCTCTTTCTTAAGAAACGGAGTAGTATCAAAGATGTCTTTGTCTACATGTCTTCTGCAATCCCGGTTGTGTTTCCCAACCCCGGTTAGGAAGAAAAAATCTTATCTCCTGATTGAGCCAATCACAGTGGATGAAGCCGTAATTCCCAAAAATATCGTTGCCAGCATAAGAAATGACAATGATAGCTGGGCGAGAGGTTCCCCTCCGCTGCAAACATTCAAGAGAGTGCTCGACGCCCTTGATGATGTCAGGCAGCCCACGACCCCACTTGAGGTCGTGCCAGACCGATCTGCGGCCTGGTGGGAGGAGGTCCGGCTTCTCCTTGATATACTCGCCGATGTTCCTGCGCGTAGAAGCGTGCCCGTCGACCATGTCCACAAGTGCCATCGAAGAATCTCCGGCAAAAATGAAATTGGCCTCAGGTTCCCTTGGGCATACCATGCCTCTGAGTGAGAAGCTTGAAACGCCGTCGAGAAGCTTCGCGTCTTCCGGGCTCACGTCACGAAGGTAGCCCTTGGCCAACAGCGAATGATCAGTTCGACCCATGAGTGAAGTAAGATCCGAAATGACATCGGCTTCGTTCACGACACGACACTGCGTGACAGAGCTGAAAATGCTCCCAGTCAACGCATACCACGCCTTTCCATTAGGCCCCAAAGTCACATCTTCTGCAGTGGACTCCGGTTCCCCGGGTCGAATTCCAGCAGCTTCCGCAGCAGCGGAATAATCTGCCTCTTCAACCTCGGCTTGTGGAAATCGTCGGGAATAGGCCATTGTAGATGATGATGTAGAAAGCGAAACAGCGCAGAGTGCAATAGAAGTCGTCAGTTTGAGTTTTGAGCTGGTCGCTGCAATGAAAGTTTGATGGATCATGTCCGTCATCTGAAAAGAATATGATTCAGTTTCTTTCAAGTCATGACCTCTTCCTTGAACATGGTTATGACTACCATCACATGACAATCCATCAAAAGCAGTGACAATTGAATCACAATCAGTTTGAATAGCCCATGGTTTCTTAATAGGTTCTCCTTCTTTGTTGACAATACCAACCATGCATCCATCAAATGTGACTCTGATGAGTTGATGTTTTCCACAAGACTTCTCAACTCGGTCAAACTTCCAATAGATACAATGAGCTGGTCATTCAATCGCAATCTTTGGACTTAAATGACGAATAAGATTAAGAAAATCGACCATTGAAGACCATATCTTTTCAAAAACATGTCGATGATATTCAACTTTGAGTTTGGCTGACTCGTGTTGCAAGTTCACATATGACCATGTTGTGCCACCAGTGCAAGGGATGCTAATCCAAATCAAAACAGGACACGGTTGTGCAGTTGAACTCTCAATTGCTCGAATAACTTCGTTTCGAATGTCCATTCTGTTCGATCTAGATGTAACATCTCTCTCTTCCGTACATCTGATGACATAACAATCTTTTGAATGTTTCCTCGAACGATCACCAAGCTTTGAAGCAGGTCCACAACAAAATTCAATAAGTACCCTGCTATGAGATGCCACTGAAGGGCAAGCAGGTTCCCCTGCGCGTTGCTGAGATCCCGACACTGTTGAAGGTGCAGGTTCCCCTGCGCAGGCTTTCATCTTTTGTTGCTCCTTCCGCGGAAGGGGCTGTGATGAAATACTCATCAATCGCAGAGCTGATTCCCACTTCTCGGAGTTGGTAAAAGGCTTGGTGAGGATGTCTGCCGCTTGAAGCGATGAACCAACATAGACAAGTTTGAAATGTTTTCGTTTGAATTGTTCCGACAACCATGACAAGTTCAATCTCTGGGTTTTGTCAGTGTGCCTAAATGACGGTGACCTTCCACTCTCAAGAATCCGAATGGTTGCTTGGTTGTCCTCAAGGAAAATGACCTCAAGACTACCGGGTCCTGCCATGTACACACTTTCATCCCCCCCGCTTTTCAGATCCAATATATTTGAAATCAGTTAAAGCTGATCTAATCTCCCGTGACTCAACCCCGTAGTCCACTTCATTTGGTCCAGGGATCCTAAAGATAGTTTTCCCAGTCCATTCAAAATCATTGACAACATCGGCATCAGGAGTCGTCCAGTCCCATGTCAAATCAAATTCAACATCACCAGTTTTGGTTTTCATGATGGTGTACCTTTGCCTTGCCAATCCCTGAAGGTTCACTGGACAATCCGAATCAATTGGGTTATACAGTTTGTTCCGGGGTTTGACATGAACTCTGGTAACTTGGTTGGTGAATGGAACGTGCTCCCAATAGTCATCTTTTGTGTTTTTGGTGTTTTGCAAGGACGGCCTTTGCCTTTGTTGAGTGCTATCTCCCCCCGCGTGACGTATGACTGACCACAGGCAGGAGGAAGGTAAACCAACAGCACGTAAAGCAAGGTTCGCCGCAGTGACTTCAGCCTCTGTCGATGACATAGCCGTTGAAGTCTGCTTCTTTGAAAAAGCTGTGAGTGGGTAAAACGTGTTTGGTCCTACTAAGCAAGGAGGCAACCACTTGTAGAACGGTTGTCATGTTCCCCAGCATGATCTGAATCTGCAAATAACCAAGTCTTGCAAGCCTCAGGTGGATCCCCAACGAAACCAACCATCGTACGATCAAGGGTTGTGTGTATGTAACACATTAATCGATGAAGACTCTTGTCGCAATCGGGTGACCACTTTGTAACCCTACTTGCTAAACCCTGAGTAGCACGGAGAAGATCAAACCTAGCCATTCGTGCTGCGAACAACACTTTCATCAACACACGTGATGCTATAGGCTGGAGTTCCCCCCGAGCTTCTGCTTCGTCCATGATCGGACGTGCAATTTTGTCATCCGGGAAAGGAGTTGAAACTTTCTTGAACTTCACGTTTTGTCCTGCTAGTTCAACGTAGCGGTCAATACATTGTTGTAAAAACTGTCGCATGTCATACTCGACCGTGTTGACATTCTTTGTCATGCACTTGGATTTTTGTTGCTCAAGTTCATCGAGAAAAGTAAATCCCTGTGCCCTAGCCGCTTTCTTGGCTCCCGATTTGTCTCTTATCTTCTTAGCCGCTGCCAAAACTTTTGAAGGTTCATTGATTGATTTGTCCACGAAGTAGGTTGATCCCGTCCACCAAAATGGAAGTCCAGTTGGGTTTTGAGATTCCATATCATGAACATATTCTTTGGGTTCATCTTGGGTTTGGCAAGGTTCACACACGGTTAGCCGGTGCGTTCCCGCCCGGAAAGACACATCGTCCTTCGGCTTGTCCTGGAACTTCTTACGAGGTTGCAGGTGATGATGAACATAAACTCCAAGCTCTGGCATATGCTCCCAGTAGTCCTTTGTTCGGCGGGCCGGACTGGCTGGCTTACTAGAAGGATCCGGAATGCTGGCATCGAAGACATGAGCAAAAGGATGAGCACTCGCATCTAGTTTGACGTTTTGTTTGAACACATGTTCACATCCAAGATATCTGCCGGCATCTTCGGGAGTATCCATGTCGATTTAAGATGAAATCAACTTCCACCCTTCATCGATGTTCTTTGAGGGTCCTGACATCTTGAAGTCATCAACGTAAACACCAAGTAACAACTTCAATTTTGGATGCCAAAACATGGAAGGCCAACATTCGGGATAGAGAGGATGAAACCCGACTGCATAAAGAGCTTTCTCACAATGGCGTTGCCATAGACCCCCCGAATCAGGGTGACCATACAATGCCAAAATAAGAAGTACAACCGGATCTTTGAATACCCCAATCCATTCCTTCGGCCATCGGTTTCTTGGTAATCTAATCCAAGTTAAAATTCCTTGCATCAATGCTTGGGTGTAAGCTTGCTTTCCATCACCTTGTGATGTCCGGTTCCCCGGCATGGAGCCATAAGCATCCAATGCTTTTCCTGCCTCCATGTTGGCCGGTGAACTTCCGAGCTCCGCGAACAAAGCAACATCAGCCGCTTCGTCCTTGACGTTGTTTCCTTGAAACACGGTGCGACCCTTGAACTTGCGCATGGGGTCGCCCTGCGGTAGCTCACTTCCCTTCTCGACACAAATCTCGAAGATCTTGCCTACATGGACTTTGGTTTTGTTCTTGATGGCTTCCCTTGAAACATCATCCCATTCCCTAACAGTGGAATAATCCCATGCACCCTTACTAGTAAGGTTATTCCATTCCTTATCGAGTGCAGCTTGGGCAGCAGGAGTGTTGTTGATCTCCTTCTGTCCAACAGGTCTTGCCACGAGTGCATTGGAAAAATGAAAGCACATGAGCTCTGACTGATCCTTAAGCTTGTCTCGATGGCAATGGATTCCACCATGCGAGCCCCCCGGATTGACTGGCATTGCGGGAATGAAATCATCTGATGGTTCAACATTCTTGGATTCTTTGGCAGCTGAAGTGGCAAAACGATCTATAACCCTGTTATACTTACGTTCTTTGGCAACTGCTGCATCATGCTTTTCAGCTGCCTCTTTCAACATCTTTCAACAAGGCTTCACGTTTGGCCCTTTCTCTAGCCGCTTTGGAGGCCCCCCGCCAAAGAAATGTTGGAATGTCCTTTGGTTTGGAAGAACCTTTATAACTTCTTCCCTTAAAACCACTAGCATCGTAGTATGAAGGGTCATCCTTTGAGATGAATTCTGATTTGCCAGTTTTGGGGTCAATAACTTCGATGTCATCTGATTCAAGTCCAGCTTCACGCATCAACTGTTCGAATTCCTCTTCGCCCTCCACAGGTCCTGGCTCGACAGCTTTCCTCGGAGACACCAGGCCTTCGATCGTCTGAGCGTCCATCTTCTTTGGATCTGGTGGAGCATCAAGGCTAAGAGACTCATATAAACCTTCCCTAATGGCCTTATATCTACCCTTCAAAGGATAAACAAACGGTCCATCGGGTACGGTGAGTTGATTGACGCGGACAACTTGAACTGATTCGTTGAATTCCTTTTCCATGAGATCCTTCAATGATGCTACAAGAAATTCATTTCTCCAAACGAAACCTGGTTGCATGGCATATCCCAAAAAGATACCTGGGTTTGATGTAGGATCAAAACGCAAGTCTTTCTTGGGTTTCAGTTTTGGTCCAGTCCAATAATCAATGCGAGCCCCAAAAGGAATGTTGGGTCCCTTAAACTTTTCCCCAAAACGAAGCTCCCATGGAGATAAGATTTCAGGGTGGTCCTGGATGTTGTGTGCCATGCACCAATGTCGTGCAGCATAACTCCAATAGGAATGATGAAGCCCCGCCTGTTCAAGGTTAACCCTAGTCCCTTCAAGAACGGACCTGAGATTCCTCTCGGCGACTGCGTTCGACTTAGAGACATAAGCAACACTAGTGTTCTGCCTCCACCCAACTTCCCGACAAGCGAGCTTGATGGATGGCGCTGCATCGGAATAAAACACTCCGACTTCTTCACCAGGTGCGATGAAATGTCTAAAAGCTAAAACACAATCTTTGGCATGACTTCTAGCTGAAGGATAAATCCAACGAAAATTCGTAGCGACATCTTTCATGACCATAGCAACCCTGTCACCATCAGTTGATTGTTCGTTGGCATCCCTAGTCACAAGATGATCCCCAGTAACGTGATCTCCAAACTTGTTGGATTCCACAGTCAATGATTCACCCTTACTACGCTTGGTTGGTTTATACATCTTCGCACATTTGCATGTTTCACAAAAGGGGTTCTTTGGGGTATGTGTCATCATGTGCCTAAGTGTCCTGGCCTCTTCTCGAAGTGCAGCTTCACCACGATCGATCGCCTTGGGTTCAGGCAACTGGAGTCGACCGTCAACTGGTTCTTCAGGAGCTTCGGCTTCATCTTCCGAACCTTCGACAATGTCGCGCGTCATGGCTGCTGGAGGTCCTGGTGCAAGTTCACCAGGGAAGAATTCCTCGAGACTATCGTCACCATGTCCAAGAATTTCATCGTCGTCTGCGATGGAAGCTTCATAAGGTTCTTCGACCTCTTCGACTTCGTCCTCGGACTCAGTGCCGACAGCTGACATGCGAGACCTTCGAACAGGTGAGATGATAGGCTTGCCGTTCCCGGCAGCGGAGTCCCATAAAAACGGAATCCCTACTGCAGCGGGTACCTGGCCATCTCTGGATGGAAGATAAGGAACAAAATCTTTGACTTCAAGTTTGATCTTGGTTCCATCTTTCTTCTTGAAATATGGGCGACTAAAGCTTTTCCAAACAAAATCCCATCCATCTTGAATACATCTCATCCCTACCGATATTACAGCCGGGGTATCAGGAAGAACACAAGGATGAACTTCTTTGTCGATGCAATCAATATGAACGGAAGCTTGTTGATCAGCTGATTGAGAACCATTTGCAGTGATTAATTCAAGGGGTTCAGGAGAGTGATACACAACATCATCGGGAATCATCTTACTGCAAACTAAGTCCTGTGCACTACCGGTATCTGCAATCCATGCTATCTCAGCGGATGCATTTCGCTGCTGGGACGGCATGTGTCCTGGCAGGGCATTCAGGTCGGAACGGATGCAGTGGCGACAGCCGATATCGCTGTCACATTCAAAGTTGCATTTGCAAATCTTCCCATGCAACTCCCGAAAAACAGCTGACTGCAACATCTGTGCCGCAAGTATTGCATCACTTTCCCTTGCTTCGATCGTATCTTTACGAGTACGATCGTTCTTGGTGATGCGAACAGGATTGAACGTGCGATGCTTGGCTTGGCACGGGTGCAAATTACAATTTTGCTCAATGGGAATTTCGAAGATTTCATCGTTATCCCCAAATGAAACAGTGCGATTGGGTGTAACTGGCATGGCAAAATGCGGGTTGAAACAATGCGGAGAGGCGATGCCTTCCGGCACGCGATGAGTACTGGTCGAAGGGTTGACGACTGCGACCATCATCAGAGCGCGCATCAGGCAAACTGCAGCTGAGCCAGAGGAAGATGGTTTTCCCCCTTTGTCCTTGAGACTCTGTGAGCCCTTCGAGGAATTGGAACCTCGACTTGACGATCTGGAGCGATCGCCCTTCTTCTTGTTCTTCTTCTTCTTCTGGCTCTTTCCACGCTTAAATCATCTTTTGTAGATGCAGCTGCAGGCTTTGGTGGGTGTTGGAAAGCACAGTCATTACCTCGCTGACACTTACCTGCCTTCCAAAACTTACACACTTGATTCCTAGATCCCGGAGACAAAGAACGACTATTGCCTCTTGACTTGGACCTGGACTTCCCTTTCTTGCCTCCGCCTTTTCCTTTGTCTGACTTTTCATGTTTATACCGGCAATCCTTTCCCCTAGTGCACTTGCCCGCCTGGAAGTCATAGCAAATGCCTGTGGGTTTGCCCGCAGATGGTGGTCTGGTGGGCGCTGGAGTGGCGTCTCTCTTGCCTGAAACGGACTTCTTGGTAGCCTGTCGCATCTTCTCAAGACGTCTTCTCTCGAGGTAATCCCTAGCAGCTTTCATGAGAAACTCATAAGAGCGGTTGGGTTCCCCCTCCGGTGTGCGATCATACACAGCGAGGTCGTGCGAGAGAGGTTTGAAGGTCTTGATGGCATTGTGAAAGTATGCTTGCTTCCACATCATGTCAGGCTCGGAAGTCATTCCAGCGATCACAGCGTCCTATCGGGTGATGAAACCTCTGAGATCATCATTGACTAAGGTAACAGCCATGAGGTCCTCGATGTCATACACTGCACCATGTTTCCTACTTGTGCTGAAGTGCTTATGAATCATGAGCAATGCTTGACGTCCCCTAGCTGGTGTCCCTGACTTGGCTTGTTCTTCTTTAAAGATGTCAAGTTGCCGTGCAAAGTCACCTTCGCAGATGTTGGTGAGCGAAGACATGAGCTTTGCATCGAGGGTCACGAACTTACCTGAGTCCTTCAAGGCTTCGACAGACTGATCTGTCCTGAAAACTTCTTCAACCCATTGGAAAGCTAGGTCAGGTTTGGCTGAAGCAGCAATTATGGCATCCCTTACTCGGATTCTCCAATTCCTATAATTTTCGGGTTGAGGGAACTTAGGAACTAGGATCCTATCAGACTCTTTGGCCTTATGATCAGTAGTCCTAGAACGCTCTAAGGCCCTCTTGACCTTTCGTGCAAAGGAACTCTCAGAATCCGAACTGGACGTGGTAGGGGATGAAGACGAAGAAGGTGAGGATGATGGATCCCGACGGTGTCGTCGCCTGGATCTCCCTCGACTGGTCTTGCGACCTTTCTTCTTGTCCTTCTTGTCCTTGCGACCTCTTTTGTCATTGAAGTCGTCATCATCGTCATCATCTCCAGGAGGTCCACCACCAGGAAGTCCTGGCGGCTTCAAAGGATCCAACAAAAAGTGTTCATCATCTGCGTCAGATGAGTGCATCAGCTTCTTGTCACCTGTGCCGAGCTCTTCAATGATAGGTCTGGAAGCTTGCGAAGATTCTGGAACGGGTTTTCCTGGTCCGTAGTGGATTCTAAGTCCAGGAGTTCCCTCCAGAGGTTGAGACTTCAAGTTCCGAATGAGCTCCTTCTGCTCCTTCCGAAGCTTGTCAATCTCTGCCTCGAAGTCCTTCTTCTGAGATTCGGCCAACTTTTGCATTTTGAGTGCATGCTGGTTCATTGCATCCATTTGAGTGCGATACTCGGCAAGTTCCGAACGGGCTGTCTGCAGATCAGCGTTGGACTTCTCCGCAGTTGATGTGAGGATACCTGCATTGTTGACTACGTGTGTCAATTCGGCACTCAGTTCCCTGATGCGATGATCCTGCGCACTGACTTGCAGTTGAGCAGATTTCTGCTCGCTCATCGCCTGGGCGGCTTGCTCGTTCAACAAAAGGTTCTTCCTGGAAATTTCGTCGGCTGCCTGTTGTTCAATGCTTGCAAGTTGATCTCGAGCTTCACTCACAAGCGCATTCCTTTGACGTTCCATGACCTCAGAGTGAAGTGCGTTGGCTTCGCTCTGCAATGCCTGCTGTTGAGCAGCCATCAGTTGACTTGCCATGTTTGGATCAACACCTTGCTGTACCACTGCCACTTGGGCGGTACGATTGTCCACATGATTGAAGTTGATGGTGTTGAGCTGACTTATGTCCATACTAGTGTCCAAAACACCTGGCATGTCCCTGCGTGGATCAGAACGGCATGGGTCCAATTCCTCATCCAAGTAACTCATGTCGCCTTCTGTTGTCGCCGCACCTGAATGGATTACCACTTCCTCCGGTTGTGTAGGGTTCGCTAAGGCCAGAGCAGCCGAGGCGTTCCCGCCCGGGGCAGGAAGCGCGGGGGTTGAGGCCATTGCGAAAATTACGGAGAAAGAACGAAAAAGTGAGACAAAGGAAACCAGTCAATCACCTTTGGCGATACGGCTGATAACCTGTAGAAACAAGTTCGTAGCCACTTAGTGCCACAAAATAACCCTGGGCAAAGAACACTGTTTCTTGAGCCATACGCCGACCATACTATGGGTGAAACAGGTGATACTTAGACTGCTATTGTGCAACAACACATTGGGTGTTTCCCTTGGAAAATGGTGGCGGTGATAGATAGTATGTATATACAAGTGTATATATATACATATATATCAAAACAATTCTATTTGTAAAACAATTCTATCTGTCAAAAAAAAGTATAAACAATTCTAAGCCGCCTTTTTCCCTAGCACTTAGAATTTGCCTATAGTAGCGAGCAAAAAACCGCTAATAATAATTCTATCTGCTGGGGGGCCGCTATACTATAAAGTGAAATGTGCAACAACCAAACAACAATACTTGTGTCGAACAGTGGTACTATAATATACTACAATGTGGGTTGCCCAGTAAACAACGATCGTTGTAATATCGATGGTGCTCTTAATCACGTCGATGGAAACATCAACACGAACAACTGTGACCATCAACACTGTGGTGCTTTCAACCGTCTGTGCTACTCTTTCGTTGAAGCTCGGGTCACCATAGCAAGAATGATTTGAGTGACATGTTTGGGTATATTTGGGATTATTGGGTGGTTGTGACCGTTAAGGATGCTTCAACTCCTTCAATGCTGGAAGGCTCCCAACTGACTTGGATTGTCATTCTATCGGCTAGCGTCTCTATCAAGTGCACCTGCACACTATGACCTGCAATGAGGAAATCAAAAATCTCAGGTGCCGACTTCTTGGCCAAGTCACGCAGTTGATCCTGCTTGCAAACATCTGCAAGTGAGATGCTCACAGCAAATGACGCTTCCTGACAATTTCCTGCCTCCGGCACGTCAGAGCTGAAGATGGTAATGCCTCTGCCACAGCTTTGGCCTTATGAGCACACGCAGTGGGCCACAGCACTTCCAGCCGAGGACAAAGACTGCTTGGTCACCCACTGCACGGCTTCCAAATCCACAGCGCATCTGATTGGCGCAATCTAGCAGCATCCCAGGCAAGGAATGCCTGATCAGAGAGATCATGTGATGTGAGAGCTCTTGAAGGCAAAGCTCGGCAAAACTAAGTGAAAGAAGTTGAGAGAAGTGACTGCGAGTGCCTTAGGCAGAATGTAGCCTTGCGGTGTGATTTGGTACCTGGCCCCGGAAGTGACAAGCAGAAGGTTTTTGACATCATGATCGTGATGGTGATGACGAACTATCTTGATTCTATTTTATTCTACTTCTGACAGTGGTGGTCGTGATGGCCTTGTGGCAGAAGAGTTCCAAGAAATAAATCGTGGCAGTTGGAGGGCACTCTTTTCCGAAACGCTGTTGCATTTTCGCCAAGTTCCGCCAGATCAGATCCTGCGGCTTTCTTGCGTCAAGGATGTGAATTGCCTGAACCCATGTACTGCTCTGTCTGCCTATCCCCATTGCTCTCGATTCTTCGAGTCGGGCGCAGGACATTCCTAGAACCCTTGGGCTGCTGACAGTATTAAAACAGTGCATCTATATACATATATTATATATTATTATAATAATAAATATTATATAATATAATATGTGAACAAATAGAATCCCTTCTTCCGGGGTTAATGCACTTGCGGTGTAGGATGCTCAATGTTCAAGCTGTCAGCGCAACGCAAGCGACATGCAGTGAGCCGGCAAGCTGTTTTCCTGTGACAGTAGGTCTTGAACCAATATGTATGGGCATTAAGTCGCAATGCAGCACGCATGAATTAACTTGCATATGATGCTACATGCTGCCGTGCAGTTCCCTTTAACACCCCCCATGCCCGAGGTTGCTTAAAGTTCGGGCACGAGAGAGGGAACAAAGAAACTATTCAGTGCACGCTACATCTACCGCAAAAGAGCTTGAAATTGTGGTTCACTCCTCACCTGTCCGTTGGACGCAGGATCGGAGATCCCCATGCCACATCTTCGTGGCAATCGCGTGGGTAGAAGTATCATGCTGTACAGAAATGGACCCACGTCAAACTACTCTAACTACACTGCGAATTGATGATGCTAGCCGTCCGTTGGACGCAACTAACACATCGCATCTACGTGAGTAACAAGTCAGCTATCAGCAAATCTACTCTGTACAAAGAAAAGAAAGTGAATTAGTTGATTGGGAATTGACGTGACAAGCAATCTAAGATGACTGTACACTAGCCACGCTCAGTGTTTTAGTGTCCTCTCAAAAGTCATAGTTCATCATCATCCGTAGCCAATGAAGATGATGTACACCACATAGCCCAGTAGTGATCACTGGTCGGTTCTCTTCTTATACTGGGGCGTTTGTTGTGGTTTCTCGCTAGGCGGTGGTCTCGATGGTTTCGGTGCGGCCTTGGCAGGCATTGCTTTCTGTGGCAATTTCGCCTTTTGTGCCGGAGATGATGATGGGGCAGCATAGGAAGATGACGAAGCTTCAGAACCAGCCCCTTTTGCCGGAGGTGGCTTCGGCCCTGCCGCTTTGGGAACTTGTCCTTGACCTGATGCGGCAGTTCTTGACGCTTCTGCAGCTCGTTGAGCGCCTTCATTGTCTGCAATGCTCCGAAACACGTCTTCCGTTACCTTCGGGTCAAGGTTTGGAGCCAAGGTCGATTTCCATGTCAATCTTCCACGTTGGGATACGCTGGGCTTCCTGCTCAGCGTATGACATCGAGTATGCCATCTTTGCCACAAACAGTTCAGGAAGAACCACTCCGCATTGTTGCGCGGAAATCAGGAGTTCTTCACTGCGTTGTGTCTCGCGGAATGCGAGATACACCGTGAATGCAGGAATCTCTTGACATTCAGGAAAATCATGGTCCCCTGACCTGAAGTAGGTGTAGGGCTCGGAAGATGGAAATGCGCCCTTGAGCAATCGTGACACAAAGTCACTAATCATCTTCCTCATTTCTCCTTTCTCCTCGTTAGTTCCTTTCATCTTGTTCATCGGAGTGAGGAACTTCATCCGGTCCGGAGTATATCCGGCGTGCACGAGGAACTCCATCATCTTCTCGTACATCATGAGCGTGTTCACCACGTACTTAATCATGTTCTTCGGCCTTCCACCGAACAACTTTTCGCCATTCGACCATGGCGTTGGTGCCGCCTTCAGGTCGTACCATTCCATGAGCTGGTCATCTGTTGGCGGCCTTAACGACCCATCAGCCCATTCCCCTGAATAGGGGCAAATGCCGTCGAGGTCCACTCGACCAAGCTTGTTGTTCACCATTTTGTTGTAGTAGTCATCTGGTGACATCATAACTCTTTGGTCGTAGTAGTATTTGTACATCTGCAGGATCTTGGAGATCACCGCGTTGTCAAACAATTGGGCGGCCGCTTCAGACACGTCGATGTTGACGAGCCCCTTGACTGGCATTCTTTTGCAACCAGCATCCAAATTCAGGGCCCATGCGGGGAGTTGATTGGTTCTCTCCTCCGTCTCCCGGTCGACTTCCTCCTGTTGGACGTCTATATCATCTTCCTGTTCATCGATCTCGATCTCGACGTCCTCGGATTCTTCTTCCTCTTTCATTTCTTCATCTTCTTCACCATAGTCGACCTCTCCGGGATCAAAGTCAAACTGACTTCGTGTCTCAGCGTTCTCCTGAGCTTCATGGACGGTATCTTTGAACATCGATTCATTCGCCTTGCGAATCTCTTCATCGATCTGTTTCTTGGTGGCCTTGTCTTCGTCTTCTTCATCAACTGGATCATCAAGACGATATGGCCTGATGCCGTGGCTCTCTAGCGGGGTCCAACATCCCACGCAACTTGAGAATTTCATCGGCGTCTTGGTGAGACAGTGTGGGCATAACCTACATCCAGCCTCGGTCACTGCCTTTCTTTCGAGGATGTAGTCCACCAACTTCAATCGCGCCTCGTATTGTTCTTTGCCCCCTTCGAGGATTTGACGTTTCTCGAAGCGACTCAAGATGGTCATGACGTCCATCGTCTCTTCGTCGTAGGGCTGGCTGGAGGCGTTGACGCACTGTTGAGCGATCCGAATCACCGTCTCCTTCGTCGCGACTTTTCTGGATCTGACAGATCCGGTTCTGATTTCAATTATGGACGGGGGGGGTCCTTGATTTCATTTACAATTTCACTTTCATCCCGGCCCTTGCACACCGACATGCAACCGGTTCAAGCGGCGACCTTTTTTTTAAATCAGCCAGGCAGTTGCTTGGTCGAAAAAGTCGCCCAGACCTGAGCCCATTTCGTCCTCACGTCGCGTCACCTGGCAGCTGGGGGGTTGGCGGTGATTTATGGTTAATGGCTGAAAGTAATTTTAATGAAGATATAACCAACATTAACCAACAAAATCGTCTTTTAAAAATCCTTTTAAAAATGCGTATGCCTGTGTATACGTATGACTGTGTATACGTATGCCTGTGTATACGTATGCCTGTGTATGCGTATGCCTGTGTATGCGTATGACTGTGTATACGTATGCCTGTGTATACGTATGCCTGTGTATGCGTATGCCTGTGTATACGTATGCCTGTGTATACGTATGCCCGTGCATGCGTATGCCTGTGTATGCGTATGCCTGTGTATACGTATGCCTATGTATATGTATGCCTGTGTATACGTATGCCTGTGTATACGTATGCCCATGAATACCTTTAAATGAATAGCACCAAAAAAAAGTAGTAGCAGTAGTAGTAATAGTACTAGTAGTATTAAAATTTGTATCGCTGTGTATGCGTATCCCTGTGTATACGTATGCCTGTCTATATGTATGCTGTGTATACGTATGCCCGTGATAATTGTAAATGGATAGCACCAAAAAAAAAACGCAGTAGTAGTAGTAATTAGTAGTAGTAGTAGTATTAATTAGTAGTAGTAGTAGTAGTAGTAATAGTAATAGTAATAGTAGTAAAATTTGTATCGCTGTGTATGCGTATGCCTGTGTCTACGTATGCCTGTGCATACGTATGCCTGTGTATACGTATGCCTGTGTATGCATATGCCTGTGTATACGTATGCCTGTGTATACGTATGCCTGTGTATGCGTATGCCTGTGTATGCGTATGCCTGTGTATGCGTATGACTGTGTATACGTATGCCCGTGTATACGTATGCCTGTGTATGCGTATGCCTGTGTATACGTATGCCTGTGTATACGTATGCCCGTGCATGCGTATGCCTGTGTATGCGTATGCCTGTGTATACGTATGCCTATGTATATGTATGCCTGTGTATACGTATGCCTGTGTATACGTATGCCCATGAATACTTTTAAATGAATAGTACCAAAAAAAAGTAGTAGCAGTAGTAGTAGTAGTACTAGTATTAAAATTTGTATCGCTGTGTATGCGTATGCCTGTGTATACGTATGCCTGTGCATACGTATGCCTGTGTATACGTATGCCTGTGTATGCGTATGCCTGTGTATGCGTATGCCTGTGTATGCATATGCCTGTGTATACGTATGCCTGTGTATACGTATGCCTGTGTATACGTATGCCTGTGTATGCGTATGCCTGTGTATGCGTATGCCTGTGTATGCGTATGACTGTGTATACGTATGCCTGTGTATACGTATGCCTGCGTATGCGTATGCCTGTGTATACGTATGCCTGAGTATACGTATGCCCGTGCATGCGTATGCCTGTGTATGCGTATGCCTGTGTATACGTATGCCTATGTATATGTATGCCTGTGTATACGTATGCCTGTGTATACGTATGCCCATGAATACTTTTAAATGAATAGCACCAAAAAAAAGTAGTAGCAGTAGTAGTAGTAGTAGTACTAGTAGTATTAAAATTTGTATCGCTGTGTATGCGTATCCCTGTGAATACGTATGCCTGTCTATACGTATGCTGTGTATACGTATGCCCGTGATAATTGTAAATGAATAGCACCAAAAAAAAAAGCAGTAGTAGTAGTAATTAGTAGTAGTAGTAGTATTAATTAGTAGTAGTAGTAGTAGTAATAGTAGTAGTAGTAGTAGTAATAGTAATAGTAATAGTAGTAAAATTATGTAAAATTTGTATCGCTGTGTATGCGTATGCCTGTGTATACGTATGCCTGTGCATACGTATGCCTGTGTATACGTATGCCTGTGTATGCGTATGCCTGTGTATGCGTATGCCTGTGTATACGTATGCCTGTGTATACGTATGCCTGTGTATACGTATGCCTGTGTATACGTATGCCTGTGTATACGTATGCCTGTGTATACGTATGCCCGTGAATACTTTTAAATGAATAGCAGCAAAAAAAAGTAGTAGCAGTAGTAGTCATAGTAGTAGTAGTAGTAAAAGTTGTATCGCTGTGTATGCGTATGCCTGTCTATACGTATGCCTGTGTATGCGTATGCCTGTGTATACGTATGCCTGCTTGTGATTGACTGTGTATACGCATGCCT